ACAGATTGTATATATATCTTCGCTGTCCGCGCCAACATCATCGACAAACCCATTTCACATGTTCAGCAAAGGCAGAGTCACAAACAATCATTCCCTCACTCCTCGAAATACCTTCAGAGTTCATCACATCTTTCTCAAGGACACAGCCTTGTGTCCGGTTCTGCCAGTGCCGTACTACCTGCTTTTCGGCGGCGAACATGGCCCCGTCGATCCCAGTTTCCACTCAAGGTGGAATGTTCCATACCTGTTAGTATCTGCCAGCCTTCGGCATAATGGTGTTTCCCTGGCTCATAAACATATAGTTCAGGGAGTAACGCCGCAAAAACAAACGTCCGGTAGCCAGGAAAGCGGAAAGTCCGCCGGCTCCAACACTTCCAAGAGAATCACCACACCCCATGCGTGTGCTGAATGCAAAAGACGAAAGATGTGGGTATCACCCAACCCTGTCTTAAGACTCCAAATCGCCTAATCGTCATTAGCCGCTGTGATGGCCAACAGCCGTGCGGTCAGTGTCTTTCAAGCCGGGCCCCCAAGCGCTGCTTCTATGACAAACACCGACAGCGCGTCATCCCTTCAAGAAAGACTCTCGAAGCCCTGTCACAGTCCCTTGAGGAATGTCGGTCCATCTTGAAACGGCTGTTCCCTAACCAAGACATTCAATCACTGCTCCCGCTCTGTCGCCAGGACCTCCTCAGTCTGCTTGAACGCCCTGTACTTGATACGGCGACTGCGCTTCCATCCCCGCCTCTGAATACTTCTCCTCTCTCACAAGAGCTGGAATCTCCTGTTTGCTCCGGTTCCGAGCGAGGCTTCTCCAGCCTCGAGTTGATGCCCGGCCGAGATACTGAGTGGGACGAAGAGCGCCGCGTACGCGACCCCATCCCCATCGAGGCCGACGACGTGAACGCTCTTTCGCTATCTATGGACCGGCAATCGTCATACCTTGGCGCCTCTTCGATAAAAGCAGCACTGATGTGTCTGATGAAGGTGCAGCCTGCACTCCGAAACTCGCTCACTACGCCGCTCCACAGCGCCGAAGTCATGCATAACTTCCCAAGTTTGCGTCAGAAAAGCGCGGTAACCAAGGATACGCAGCGCGTCCCCTGGTCGTGGAAAGGCCAGACGCTGATCGATGCCTACTTCAAGCGCATCCATGTATTCGTCCCCATGCTCGACGAGGCCGCCTTTCGTGCCGATTATTTGGAAGGCCAACGATTTGATGGCCCTTGGCTCGCTCTTCTGAACATGATATTCGCCATGGGCAGTATTGTGGCCATGAAGTCAGATGATTACAACCACATCAACTACTACAACGAGGCCATGGAATATCTGCCAATGGACGCTTTTGGCAGTAGTCACATTGAAATGGTCCAGGCTTTGGCACTGATCGGGGGTTACTATCTCCACTACATCAACAGACCGAACATGGCCAATGCTGTTCTCGGTGCTGCCATCAGGATGGCTAGCGCCCTTGGGCTTCACCGAGAGAGCCTAGCTCAAGGTTCAAGTGACGTGGTCGCCGCCGAGACCCGTCGCCGTACTTGGTGGAGTCTGTTCTGCCTCGACACTTGGGCAACAACAACAATGGGGCGACCCTCGTTTGGTCGATGGGGCCCTGCAATCAACATCAGGCCGCCCGAGTTCGGCGTCAATCAGACCCGAGACTCTTCTCAGCACGCGGGCATCTTGCCACTGATTGAGAACATCAAATTCTGCAAGATTGCCACCCAGATCCAAGACCTGCTGGCGATTTCGCCCCTTCTGCGTACAGAGGATCGTTGCAACCTTGACGGTCAGCTGGTCAACTGGTACAGCAGCCTCCCATGGCTCCTCAGGACGACCGATCCCTGCGCTGAGCCGCTGTACATTGCGAGGTGTGTCATGAAGTGGCGATATCAGAACCTACGAATGCTGCTCAACCGGCCGGTTCTCCTCAGCTTGGCTAGCAACGGCTCCCTCTCCCAAGTTGGAGAGCAAGATGTGACGGCCATCGAGACGTGCCGCGAAATTGCCAAGCACACCATTGAGGACATTGCAAGGGAATGGACTCGCAACCAAATGTCGGGATGGAACGCTGTGTGGTTTCTCTACCAGGCTGCCATGATCCCTCTGGTCAGTGTTTTCTGGGAGTGGAACAGTCCACGTGTTCCCGAATGGCACCAGCAGATCGAGACGATCATTGATCTGCTAGAGGCTATGGAAGACTGGTCATTGGCAGCGAAACGTAGCCGAGAAGTAGTGTGGCGAATGTATGAAGCCTCTCGACAGCCATCCGTGCGGTCAGAGAGTCCTCTGCAAGGGATGAGTAGCGATCAAGGCTTATTGTTGGCGGAATCAGAACTGCACATGTCACCCATTGGCCTGGAGCCGGAAGGGATGGGCATGATGGGCATGCTTGATCAGCATGGTCTCTGGGATCTGGACGGCATGTATTGGGGCCAAAGCCCGGACCAGAGTGTGGACTTTACCCCCTACACCGTCAACGAGCAAATGATGCACATGGACTATGGTATGATGGGCAGTCAGACTGCAACAATAGGGGGCGACTTCTTCATCCACTAGTGTGGGCACTTTGGTGGTACATTCCTCGCCTGGCACCCCTTTCTTTCATTCTGGTACATATTTTCTCTTCTCTCACCCAACTTCACTCTGTCTGGATCACGGAGCTTGAAGAGGCGCCACTTCCTCATGCCGCTGTACATAGTGTGGGTTGCACAGAGGTGGGCAGACGACGCTTGGCATCACTGAAAAATGGGTTATAACGACAGTACACAATATGGAGAATATCCGAAATGATGATGACGATGTATATCATCCACCCCTCATATTCAAGATCAAATCAGAAATAGCAGGTGACGGACCGGATTCAGACTTAGCCTGGACTTTGACTTGGGCCAGTTTCGCAGTCCTTTTTCTGTACGAAAGAATCGGCGGCCTCTGAGTGTCAGCAGGACGAGGAGGGAAAGAGAGAAGCAATTCGAACCTACGACCCTTGAGAATCCCGCATGAGGCATAGCGTGACGACTTTGCTGCGAACGACATAAACAACTGACCTGAGAGAATGACTACAACTCCCGAATGATACGGAGCTTCATGAATATGGCGAAACTATGGAAGGCCATACCGCCTTTCACTTTCATGGTGGAAGACCATCCCATATCACATTCTGTTCCGGTGTGTTTGGGGGCAGGGATGTCGGCATCAGGGACGAGCAGGCCGAAGAAAAGCGGGAGGTAGTATCAATTAACTCCTACCCCTGAGCGAATATGTGTAAGCATGCCGGCCGTACCTTACCTCAGGTTGCACAACCATCCTCAGTCCAGCAAGAGGCAAGGATAACAATTCAGCCTCTAAGTAATTTGACGTATGTGCGTATTGAAAGACGGACCGACAGGGATCGGCTAAGATAAACCTAGCGGGACGTGAGCGGCTGGACCGGAGCAGACGGTTCGAGAATGGGCCACCAGAGTCACTGTATAACGTAGTATGGACGGCTGGTGTGAATGAGGTGCTATAGCCCGAGGTATAGTAACTGGACTAGGATAGACGTGCAGGTGTCCGAGACGGTAGTGTGATTGGGCGGATAAATGTGTTGTTGGGGTGGGCTTCGAGGAGAGGATGGTCATCTGGATTGTCGGGCCGTGGCGACTTTTTTTTGGCTCCCTTTCAGGGAAGATGGATGGGGACACAGAGTCACAGACGATGAATGAGATGTGACGGAGGAGAACTGACCCTGGTCAATGTTTGTCCATCACCAGTACCCCACATCAAGCCTCGTCCCGTGATACATGCCCATGTCAACTCCATGCCGTCTCCCCTCCTCTTCCTTTGATCCATGCTCCTGCTTAAGCGTTGCTACCCCATATGTTTATATCGCAACAATGATAAGTGCGGACTGCACGAGGAAGTCTCGTCCGTTCTTGTGTATCTGCTACTAAGCTGTCTCTCGTGATCTGGGCAAAGGGAGTAGTGAACCCCACATGTCACGACTGGACCCCTTGGACTACCTTATATAGCGCGGCGAGCTAGTAGTGGTAGACACGACTTAGACGGATGAATATATCGTATGAAGGAAATGGCCATAATTGAGCACCAGCTAATATTTCCTGAGAGAGAGGACTCGTTGCTCGATTCCTCTGATTAGCACTTGCCCGAGATAGGATTCTATAATATGGTTAACTATCTCCCAATATTATTTTGGCTCAAGGAAGGGGGGGTATCCGGCAGCGACCAAGTTTTCGCGGATGTCTCGATGCCAACCCTTCTCGAAGACCCCTCCATCGTAAATAGATACGGAAAGTCATGTATTTTACATTTCAGGCCACCTCGCACCTTACCCTCTAGTCTCAACTAATGAAACGAACCGTATACGAGTTGTCAACTGAATTGCTGGCCCCACTGGCAGAGCTATAGTTTGGGAAGGACTTACAGCCATGATGGTGGGCCAATCGATAACGGCCGATGGACCGATACATGGAGGACCGCAATACCGACTTCCCGGGCTACCGGTGCCCCATGACAGGTCAATTTGATGACGCTAATGTTGGGCAGGAGTGTCACTGAGACTTTTCAATAGCCTCTGAATCCCTCGCATGGTTTTTGCTGGAATCTAGAGAGCGTTGCTGGTTAACACAGTGAGCCTAGTCGACGACGTCTGGTTGTCATAACTGCAATATCATGGTGTTTCCACGCCAGACGATTACACATCTGGTAATAAGGTGACGCTTTAAACCAAGCAATTGAAGTTCATCAGTGTGACTCGTTGATTAGGTAGACTAAGAACTTCGCAAGGCGACTTAGGCAGTTTTCCTCGAGAGGAGGCAGGTATCTTGCAGTACTTTCCAATTGTGGACTACTGTGCACATTAGGCATGTACCTCACTTCCCTATCCATTCATGTAAGGGAGCAAGGGAGAGAAGAAAGTGAGTTACGGAACTTTGATCGAACAGCACAGGTGCCATCGCAGCTTCATCAATGTCGCCGACACAGCATCTGGGCCAACCCAGTGATGCATTGACATTCTGCACCAGAACACATTATTCCGCGCCGATTCTCGGGCGTGCCGCGTAGAATTTCCTGTGGACACGAGCAATAAGCCTTCACGAAAGATTTGGCGTTGCACGGTATTCATCCTTGACTTTTTCTAACGAAGCTATCCGTTGCCATCGCCGAATGATAAAGCAACCCAGCGTTACCTCCTCCTCGGTACTACAGTGCGTGGTAGCTGGATACATCCTCAGCCATGGAACACACACTCAAATGCAACGTTCTAAAGTGTCGAAAGGAGCTTAGCGACCAAGCACTGGTCACTACGTGCAGGTGAGCAGGGGAATGCTGCAGACCAATTGCTACCAGAACTGACAAACCTCGCCCGACAGTCATATATTCTGTACCGAATGTTCAAACAACCATGGCCTTACCGGACAAGTTCAAGAGCGGCACAGAACCTGCCCTGCGTGCAGGTCCCAGATCATCAACCCCGACGACGCGGTGGTGACCCATCTAAACTTATCCGAGGACTACAAGACAACCATATTAAGCGGACTGAGTCCAAACGTTATCATGGAATGTGCAGGAAGAGCACTGAGTTTCTGGGCTTACCAGACCACACAGGAAATGTAAGCTCTGACTTCTACCAGAAGCTCGAGTTGGTTCGTTGACCTAGGAAGCGTTTACCAGCGATATCTTGAAAAAACCCTGACAGAAAAGCTAAAGTCACTGGACATGAGGTTCCAAAGAAACGTGGATGATGCCAACACAGAAATTATGTGCCTTCGAGAAAAAGTGCAAGGCAAGTCCACCAGCAAGACGAATTTCTATCTCTGGCTTTGAGTATGCTGGCTAATATCCCAGCAGCCCTTTCAGATAACTGCGACAACGAGCGACGCAAACATGAAGAGCTTGCATATGCCTACCAAGAAAAAAGCCGCAAGCTCACACAGATCCAAGAACTCTATGACCGAGTAAAGAGGAAAGCCGACCTTGGGCAGATGGAGGCTGCTGCGATAGACGCGATTGAATCGAGTCTCCGGTACGGTACATACGCACCGGACTCTGATCTCCCGGGTCCTACCACGAGGTTGAACATATACGAGCCGCAAAGAGAACCAGTAAACCATGACCCTTTTCATTCTATTGGGCAGGATCGAGGAAGCCGGCAAGCGCACACCGGTAAAGGTCCAGGGGCGCTTCGTGAGGATAACGCCTGGTCAAAGTCCGGATCGGTGCAAGGCCAGCCCACCAACGGCTCTATGCTACCAATTCGTAGGCTGATGGCTGATGCAGGCAGTGTTATACAGACTCCTCGCGGAACCCCTCAGGGGCATGACGCAAAGAGCCATACTAGACTCGGGCTGCTTACAGCTTCCGGGCTAGCCACTTCGGCTCGTGGCCACTCTGGTGCACACGAGAACGATACAAACCCACGACACCCACCAGTTCCGCATGGTTACGGCCTAGGCGTAGGTCTTTCATCCGGTATTAGAACCAGTCACATTGGACATGGTAAACATGACGGTCGCGGCAGTCATGGTCCGATGGAGCGCAACATAGCTCGGTCATATTCTCAAGGTGCCTGCTGGCCTCACAATTTCTAATGTTTCGTCGCTGACATCCGATGATAGCTGGTCAATGCCCGGCTCTAGTGCCTACAACATTTGGTCACATACCGAGTCCATGATAGAAGCCATGATAGCTGGTATCGATTGCCAACCATACCTGCTTTCAAGGGTCTTGCGCTCGAGGTGGAACAACCAAGGGAGGAACGGAAACAAGGCACGAAAGCGCACAAGTCAAGCATGCCTTTAGTGGAGAATCGACGGCGAAGGAAACACATAGTATGGATACAAGGACAAAATATTGTGCAAGAATGGATCACGGAGTGCAGCTGGGAATAATCCCCTCCAAGGACCTGGGCAGCACATGTTACGGCCCGATGAAACTCTGTTTGGCAGCCAGCGTCAACGCAGAGGAAATTGTCTTCCAAATGAGCAGGAGCAATTAGCGAGCTGGCAAGTGCTGATGCGTAATGCCAACAGCAATTCAGAGACTTCCAGAACGATGCAGTCGCCGTGCAATGGCACTCAACGTCATACTAAAGAATGCCAACAAGCCGAATGTGACTATGAAAGCTCATGGTCTGTTGACCAGAAAGAACAGGCAAGGTTGATGATGTCGTCATTCGTGCTTGCCATTGGCAACCGGGGGTTATGGTTTATAGCAAACGTGTTTTGTGAGCCGGGGCCCAGGGTGTTGGATATGAGTGAACTACCTAGCAGCGCAGTGGGAGGTTTAGGTTCTCGTCCCATCAGAGCAGGCTGGTCACGGTCAGCGTTGACGTTAGGGGTCACAGACGCTGCGCGGCGAAATGCGGATGTGATTCGCTGCAGGCTTAGAGGGGATAATGTGATTTGCGTATGACGTTAGACTCAACATCGGCGCTCGGAGGATTCGGTGGTCAATTGCGAGCGGGAGACATGCGTTGGGACGAAAACGGGAGTTGGAAGATGGGAGGAAAAAAAGGGTGGATGATGCGGAGAAATCTGGAGATGGAAGCGTTGGATAATTGACTTAACACCAGGGTTGGAGCCCGGCGACTGGACGGGCTTGCACTGCGCGTATAGGTAGGCATTGACATTAATTTGCTCCAGTTAGACATTTCACAGTCGGAGAAGCATAGAAGCATTGGCATCTTGTAGCAGATAGAGTAATCAAGGGATTAAGGAACGAAAGCACATTGGTGAACCGTTTTTTGTTTACTTCCATCCATATACAGTCACATGCAGAAAGTCTGGGCCCACCCCGCATTTATACTATCAACCGTCTTATAGAGTCAATACCGCGGCGCTTACGAGCTGTACAGCAGGCCCGGGGATGGTATACACGATACTGATAGACAAACAATTAGCTTTTAATTGAATATACTCTTGCCATATATATTATTAATTTTGTGGTTCTATTCGTAGTAAACGTGATGGGGTAGATGTGTGGGCTGGAGGGAACTAAGGGGGTGGGCCCAGACTTTTTGCACGTCACTGTATATATATCCATCTGTTCTCGTTGTTTTGGATTTCCCCTTGCAGAATATTGGTCGCTGATGGTAGGTATACCGAGAGTGTGTCTAGGTCTAGTAAGGCGAGGGAGTTTACACGCGTAAAGCCAGTCATGTACTCGTATCTTATCTTTGCCTATCTCAGTACTGGTGGGCCAAGGAGGAAGACACAGGCAGGCACTCCGAGGTTGTCATTCGGTACCTACCTAAACAAGGAGTGACGGGGTGGGTACGTATACCTTATCCGCAATCAACCGGTCTCGCCGTGATAGGTACACAACACCTACGACAGCACAGTCCACACTAGTGAAACCCCTGTCCGTCGCGACTCTGCAAGGTTGGTTGAGAAGAAACTTGGCGACATAAGCGGAACATTCCTTGACCGACCGTAAACGGATTGCACTGATTGCGTGGCAACAGCCCAAACTACATGGCACCCCGTGTTGTAGATTCCAGAGGACATTGCAGGCACCGTACTTTGTTGTTTGTACTGTGTATCCGCTATGATAGAGAGGGCGAGCGCCACGACTTTCGCGACAGAGAAAGATGGCTCCATTCGTCGCAGATGATATTAGCAGAGAGAGATAACCAGTGCGCGGTGTGCCACCTACTTACATAGGTACCTAAGGCGTTCCGTAGCCTTCCATGGTGGCGGCTGGCCAATGTGACACGCCAAGTCAGGGGTCCAACCAAGTTCCGTGATCGAGTGGGTAGAGGAGGGAACCCACACCACCTGGTCGCGCGACCATTGACATCCGCCAAGCTTTCGGGGCATCTATAGAATTCGTAGAGTGCATAGGCCAGTGATAGGCGGGAACAGCGTCTACACTACCTGATTTACTGGATCTGTACAGTGTAAGGAACCTACCTACAATGTACTTATGGAAGGAGAGACGGATGTCTTGATGTGGTCCCTCGAGGCCCTTTTTTTTGTTTCTTTCTTTCTTTCTTCTGGACGCAAGGTATAAAGCTCAAGGGAGGGTCGAGGCCCAATATTACAGTCTCACCAGACTCTAGTATGTGACAGAAGGGGGTTTGGCGAGGCAGAGGCGACTTTGCTTTCGCAAACATACGCCGTATCTTCGAGTACTTGCGTCGAGACAGAGGCGGCAGCTTACGTCGTAATTCGTAAGGTACGGTAGTACCTTTCATTACGATAACCCTCACAATCTACCTCTAGGGACAGTCGCTAGTTGACCCGTACTGTGTACTTCCGATTTCCAAGAAGAGACAGTCATAATCAAACATCAGATGGTTACGTACTCCCTGTTTGAAGATGAGTCTCTGCCGCCGCGCAGTGCAGCCCAGCGCCGCACCTCTGACCGTCACCCCTCTGTCAATCGCTGTTCTCGTAAGGTCAGACTGAAAAAAGAAGACCAGTGCGAAGAAGCAGGTTGGCGCCTCGAGCCTGCAAGGCTAATCTAACATAACTCTTACGGCAGCGCACAGTGTTTGGCACGCTGAGTGCAGTGTCACACCCTGCCACTCAGTAATCCCCTGCCCGTAGAGTTCCAATACGAGCCCAGACTATCCGTATTTCCATCTCTTTTTTTGTTCTCAAGCCATTTCCCGTTCGTCTGTCCACTCAGCTTGTGGCAACGACTGACTACCTACCCATCCCCTCCAAGTCCAAGTTCAGTCCCAGCTCGACCCACCGAATCTCCAGACTTCTCTCTCCCTCCCATTTCTAGCTTTCCCCCCTGACGCTGGCAATCAATCAATCGAGCAATCAATTGCCAACCTTTGCCAGCCTTCGTTCCCGAATCTCTCCTGAACATCCCTAGGATGACCGACGCTCGCTAACTTTCCACTCGACGAACCCCGGGTAATCCATTCCGAACGAATCTCTACCCATCACTTGTTTTGTAGTTCCGACTGCTGGCCTTTTATTTCTCTTGCGATAGCATTTCCGCATTCTTCGCCACGCCGCCCAACTACCACCGACTTGTATACCATTACGAACAACCTTGGTCTCGAACGATACACTTGGACAAGAGGCTTGAAAGAAAACCACGAGCCGCGAACAAAAGCGCTACACGGTTCGTCAAATCGCTTCACTACTCCATAAAGAAACGCATCATCGCCCTACGCCGCGATCCCATCTATTTTCCCGTCCCTCTCGCATCCAACGATCAACAACCGTATTCTAGCGACCTTGGTCACGGCGCAGCCCAACGGCATCAGCTGCTCCTCATGGGGAAAAAATGTACGCAATCTGACATGATGACCAGCACGCTCCGAGCCTACATCTTGAATCACAGTACGCTGACCGAGTGCTTATTCGTACAGGGCGATATGGTATCATCTTCGACGCGGGTTCCTCAGGAACGCGTCTATACGTTTACAAATGGAAGGATCACGCCAAAGCCATCAAGAATGCCTCTATTGATGAACTACATAGTCTGCCAAAGATCAAGTTGCAGACGAGCAAGAAGACGCGCCCCGGCGTGTCGTCCTTCGCCGAGAAACCTGAGGAGATCGGTCGCGAACACTTGCAGTCGCTCATCGACATAGCTCTCAAGGAAGTGCCAGACAGCAAGGTTGCAGATACACCTGTTTACCTCATGGCCACCGCTGGCATGCGTCTTCTTCCCGATCACCAACAAAAAGCCTTGCTAAGGAACATGTGCTCGTATCTCCAGCAAAACACGCGGTTCTCGCTACCCGATTGCAATACCAACATTCAAGTCATATCTGGTGAAACGGAAGGGTTGTATGGTTGGCTCGCCACCAACTACCTCTTGGGTGGGTTCGACCATCCCGACAAACACGCGCATGGCAAAGGCCACCACACCTACGGCTTCTTGGATATGGGGGGCGCCTCGGCGCAAATCGCATTTGCCCCGAATGCTACAGAGGCCGAGAAACATGCCAACGATCTCAAGCTTGTTCGCCTGCGAACCATTGACGGCTCGACCGTCGAGCATCGTGTTTTCACTGCCACTTGGCTTGGCTACGGTGCAAACCAGGCCCGCGAACGATATGTCAATAAGCTTGAGGAGCAGTACGGTAAGCCTGATGGTCTTGAGCTTCCGGACCCATGTCTGCCTGCTGGACTACGAACGACCCTCGAAGGCGAACCGGTCGCTAGCGAGTTGGCGGGAAAGGAGCTGTCGCTTCTTGGTACCGGCCAGTTTGACGAATGTCTTAAACGGACTGAGCCACTACTTGGAAAGGACACACCATGTGAAGACCAACCCTGCTTGCTCAACGGCCAGCACGTGCCAAGCATTGACTTTGATGTAAACCATTTTGTTGGCGTGTCCGAGTTCTGGCACACTACGCATGGAGTTTTCGGAAAGGACCACAAGACGGCATATGACCTGGCAACGTATCAGAAGAACGTTGTGGACTTTTGCACCCAGGACTGGTCGCAGATCGAGACAAACATCCTTGCCAGGAAAAAGTCCGCTGCGGAAAAAGCTAAAAATGCTCAAGAAGCTTGCTTCAAGGCATCCTGGCTCATTAATGTGTTGTACGAAGGCATCGGTATTCCTAGGCCTGGCCTCGAACACACCCCGAACCCTGGCCTGAACGTTACCAAAGAAACCCTGGAGGATGCGAAGGAAAAGGGGTTTGTTGACCCATTCCAACCTGTTAACGAGATCGACGGCGTTGAAGTCAGCTGGACATTGGGCAAGATGGTTCTTTACGCGGCAGGCCAGGTGCCGCCCAGAGGCACAGCTCAGCCAGTCGGATTTGGAAGCAATGTTGCTGGGGCTACGGACTTTGAGCCGGCGGGCTCTAGCTTCTCACCCGTCACGGTTGAAAACGATGACGATGACGACTGGGATACTGCCGACGAGCTGTTGGACAAAGCCAAAACCAAGTCGGGTTCCGGCATTCTGGCCTTCCTCCTGATTCTGGTAGTTTTTGCCTTCCTCTTGCGCAAGCGTGATCGCCGGTCTCGCTGGTTTGGCAGGGTTGCTTCTGCCGTGCGGGGAACAAGACGTCCGGGCAGCCCCCGGAAGTTCGGACGGGGCTTCTTCGCCAACAAACTCTTTGGACGGTCCTCGGCGACTTACGAACGGGTCCTTGAGGAGGGCGATGCGGACCAATTCGAGCTAGGCTCCGTTGAGTCAGACGAGAACGAGCACTCTGACAGCAGCGAGGGCTCTCGGGCTGGCCGGTCCTCAGGACTTGCCACTCCAAAACTCAATATTGAGCGGTTCGATGATGTACGTCCGCCTTTTTCCATGGATCGTGGGGGTTTAGCGGTCAGAACAGAAAGCCGAGAGAGACTTGTACCAAGTGCGGTTAATGCGGGCCGTCGCAGTCGTGCCGGTAGTCCAACAAGGCTGAAAAGTCCACTCATGAAACCACTAGGTGAGGATTAGGAGGCAGAACTGCCCACAATTTGCAGTGTAAGAATAATCATTACGGGAAGCGATTGGATAAGAGTGTTTTACCGGTGTTTTACGTTTTTTTCCTTGCTCCTGAAGTTCCGTTATTTTCTTCGAGGGCGTTTCGGGACGACGGTGATTTCCCGGCATTTCACCCCGCTAGGAGTTAGGATTTGAGGCAGAATGGCGCTCCCGTCACATGAGTATCACGGGCCGCTTAGACGATATTATTTGGGATGGCATTGCATGGCACTGAGCTTTTGCAGAACTCGTGTTTGATTCCTTGCATCTGGGTGTTGTATGACACCTGATTGTTAGCCCTTTCCACGTGGCTTGGACAGAACTTCATAGTTAAAAGAACAGGGCATGTCTGGTCTATGGTTCTCAATAACAGCAATATTTTCCTTGGGGGTATCAATTAGAATGACTATGTACGGATTACAACGTGGCTTCGTCGTATCAGTCCTGCGCTCTTTCAAGAAAGCTGGGGTCGGATCTGACACGGCTCTCGAACTTCTTCCACCACTCCTCGAACGCTTTCAATGGCACAACCTCAACGCCACCAGGCCCAGCTGTGCCACTGAAGCTCGCGAGGAAGTTAAACGCGTTCTTGATGATGTTTTGCGCCAAGAGCTGCGTAAACGGTTGGGAAGCGGCGCCCGATTGGGATGACCGGGTTGCCGAGAGCTCCTGGATTCGCGAGAATACCGACTCGGCCGGCTCAATGGAGACACCAACCATAACACTGTCGGTATTTGGATCTCTGTCGCTACTGTTGGTGCTACCCCCGGCATTGATCTTGAAGGTGGCGCTCTCTTTACCCGTTCCTATACCGCCGAGGAATTTGAAGTTTGGGGTCTGACCCGTGGCTGTGGCGGCGGAGACATCGGAAGCCGTGGCGAAGTAAATGGCAGCGGCAGTATTCGGAGGTAGGACGATGCCGGGGAGCAGTAGGACAGTAATGTGGGAGAATGGTCGGACGGCGGACACGGAGTAGAGGAAGGAAGTTTCTGAGGGTGCCGATGTTGGGTCCGTTAACAGAGGCTGACCAGCCGGAACGATGCCGAAAAGGGGACCGGACATTGTCGGTTGGGTGAGCTGGATTAAAGGAGTATTTGTAAATAGGCTGTCCAATCTGGCGTAGTATGGTTGTGCCGGTATGCTGCTTCCACCGTGTTCTTGCTGGTTGCTGCAGATCTTGGCGAGATGATGGTATAACCCGTCAACAAATAGTTTCAGTGACGGAATCCAAAAGGACAGTAGAGTTGGACAGTGATTATACAAGGGATGCGTTTTAAGGTTATTTAAAGACGGCCGAGACTTCGCTTTTAATACACCAGCTTCTGAGAGTCAATACGGGCCCTTTGATGGTCTTAGGAGGGGGAAATGTGTATGGTAGGTAGGTAGGTAGATAGGTACGATCTAACCAATCGTCGTTATGTTGGAGAGTGGGGCTAGCAGCAGCAGCAAGAAACCCCGAGACGCTGGGAGAAGAGTCGATTATATTGACCAATCATATCTTTTTATCAGATCCGCCGGCGGCTTTTAGTTCAGGTACATCGTATGTACGTACCCCCGAACGCGTGCCAGCTGTATTAAGAGGTACCTAGCCTGAATAAATCAAGGATTTCCAGCGTTGGCCTGTATTTTGACCAACCAGCCTGAAAGCAGGTAGCGATCCGTCCTCGAAACCTCAATGTTCATTGAAACAAGCAGGCAAAAGGTACTTGTCTCACAAGCATTTTCTCGGGTCACGGCCAAAGCCCTTGTCTTCACCAACACCCCAAATCTCATGTTACGAACGCTATACCCCCACCGCACACTCCATTCAGTCACGCGAACTGCGAGCAGAAATAACACTTTCATGATGAAGACTTTTACTAATATCGATCTCATCGACCAGGTAGACTCGTGAGAGCCATCTCCTCCACTAGCACAACTCTTGAAGGCTGAACCCCACAGCTGACCATCAATACAGATACCCGTACGCACAGTGCAAGACTCGGCCTGACGAGACTCCAGAGTCCGTTTACACTCTTGTCTGGGATGATGCCGAGGGCGAGGTGCCGCTCGGATACGTCCTGCCCCGAGTTGTGGAGAAGCTACTCGAGGTACCCGACAGTATCAAGGGTAAAGTCCAAGTTGATTCAGAGAAGCGCACCATCCGCGCCTTTCAGGGATCGACATTGAAAAGTCGTAGCAAGCTGGCAGCGGATCTAGCAGACTACTGGAGGGCCAGAGACACCTTTCCGATCCTTCGAGGTTGGCGTGACGAGCTGTGGCCTGTTTATGGCCGCCATGGTGAGCTTCTCTTTGACATTGAAAGGGCTGCCTCTGGGTTGTTTGGCGTCATGAGATATGGCGTTCACATGACGGCCTTCGTACACTATCCGAATGTAAGCCACGGAATCAAGATTTGGGTGCCACGCCGCTCTCCGACCAAGTCGACATTTCCCGGAATGCTGGACAACACAGTCGCTGGTGGACTGGTGACGGGTGAAGACCCGTTTGAGTGCGTAATCCGCGAAGCAGACGAGGAAGCTAGCTTGCCAGAGCAGGTTGTTCGCCACCGAGCAAAGTATGTCGGCGGGGTTACGTACATTTATGTTACAGAGGCAGAGGCGGGCGAAGAGGGGCTCATCTATCCCGAAGTTCAGTGGATTTATGATCTCGAACTACCCGAAGACATTGTGCCACAACCAAAGGACGGCGAGGTCGCCGAGTTCAGCCTCTGCACTGTTGAACAAGTTCTGGAGGGGCTAGCACAGGGCCAGTGGAAACCCAACTGTGCGCTAGTCGTTCTCGACTTTTTTATCCGCCACGGCATCTTGACCAGAGATAACGAACCCCATTACGACCGAATCGTGCGAAGAATCCATCGAAAAATCCCGTTCCCTGGGCCGCACAACCAAGACTCGTCTCTAGGGGCCATTGACGAATAAGCCAGCGAGAGTTCGGAGAAAGGGGTATCTTATTATCGGTTCAACCCGCCCTTTTCTGTTTCTGTTATCTTCCTGAACGTCCTTGATCCAGACCAACTCTCAGCTCTCGAAATCTCCTCGGACAGACTCAGGCTCGATGGACTTCGTGCCGCCTCGCGTTTCGTGCGCGACGAAATCGAACGGAAGGGAGCTGGAGGCCATCTATTGTGGGTAGTTTAAGCACGTTGTTCATCATTTCTTGATCAACAAGTAGACATAATCGACTCTCAGGGGAGTAAGCTTCTTGTATGGGCCTTCGAGAGACATCAGGAGACCGCCAAAGGAGACGTAAGCCTTGCTATAACGAGGGTATCGTCAGTTTCCAATGCTATGGACAATGAATATTCGGCGCGAAGACTAACATGGTCTGACCGTCGTCGGCGTCCTCAAACTTGTAGATTTTTCCGTAGCATACGTAGTCAAACATATCGGCCAACGTAGGCTCTCGGTCTTGGTTGCCTTTGGTGACGTCCCTCCATCCCTTCTCATCATCCTTGCTCCCGTCGTGGGCTAGGGACGTCGCCAATACCACATGCAGGCTGTCGGATACAGAGGTGGGGAATAGCTCAATGTTGATGTCGAGGGTCATAAGGGTCTGGTTGTCCGTAGAAGTAGCGGAAATCCGGGCGACTCGGTCGTACTTGGACTGATCGTAGTTGGTGACAGTAAAGGACTCCTCAAAGAGAGTCACATCACCGCTGCCTGACATGCTTATGAGTGGGTGTTGTGAAAATGGCTTCGAGGCAGGAAATCTGGTTTTTCTGTGGTGTGAGGTTCAGTACTTGCGAAATGGGCCGTAGTCGCCCTTGTAGAAGCTTCAAGATCGTGGTCGGCAACACTGGACTTGCATTAAGCACTGCTAGAAAGGAGAATAAAAAAGTCTGGAAATGTAGTTATCCGGTATAGCAAGCGATTGAAGAACCTCAGGCAGTACGTACCGTAAAGCCTGGCTCAAATTTTTGTAAGTGATATTTCCCCACCCCCACCTGCCCTCTTCAGCAACGTTGGTAAAGGACGATTCTAGGCAAGGACTGAGATAACGCTGAGCAAGGCATCCAATACATGCCTATTTTGTTCTATTCACCAGTCGATCTATTCTACTATTACTCTTCTATATTTCCTGCAATTATCGATTGGTTTTGTTCCCATATTCGAGGAGATAAGCAAGCGTGAGTTACTCACCGGATGCGTTGCATGTGAAGCCTTTCTGACACACTCGCAGGCGCTTGACTTGGACAACTCTGAGTCCAAATTTGTTGGATCAGGGGTAGTGGTTGTGCCTCAATCCACAACACACAGACACGACACCCACGCTATGTCGTTCAGGAAGAAGAACGTCGTTCTCGGTTCATCCACCAGAGGCTCGGGAGGGGAAACAATCGCCCCCAGGCAAGAAGTATTGCCTCCGGTAGGAGTCCGTCCGTCACCCCTTGATGGCCGCCCTACGATATCAACTGGGACAGCATCTCTTGATCAACTTATGGCGGGACATGCTGGTCTACCACTCGGATCTAGTATGCTTGTTGAGGAGTCTGGGACAACGGATTTTGCAGGTGTCGTTCTCAGATATTATGCCGCGGAAGGCCTCTCACAGGGACACCAAGTGCACGTGCTTGGACCGAGTGAAGCATGGATAGGCGAGCTGCCAGGCCTTGCCAAAACAAGCGGCTCGAGTAGAAGCAAACCGGAATCCGGAAAAGGCGGCAAAATGAAAATTGCGTGGCGATACGAGAGCTTAGGGAATGATCCCGGCTCTGGTATGTTGTCGCTCCCGTTCTTCGTGCTTCCCACTATGGCCAAAAACGCTAACCTCCCATGACCCCACCCAGACTCGAAAAATGACACATCAAATTATCGTGAAGCTTTTTGCCACATGTTTGACCTCGGGAAGCGCCTGCAGCCTAGTGATGTCAAGGGGGAACTTCATGCGACACCGTTAATGGTCACGATGAGCTGGCTTCAATCCCAAGGATCTGCTAGCTTGTCGCCGTTAGATGCCTTCATTGCCAACATCGCAGCAAGGCTGAAGGGGTCACCGCCTGGGACTATTCATAGGGTCCTAGTGCCGAGTCTTCTATCGCCCGCACTTTATGGATCCTCGGTTTGCCTGCCGGAGCACGCGCTCCAGTTCTTGCACAAGTTGAGAGCTCTGTTGCGCCATCACGATGGGAGATTAACGGCCATGATATCGCTTTCGACGTCATTGTTCCCGCGGTCGACTGGCTTTACGAGATGGATGGAGCTCCTGTGTGATGGAGTGTTCGAAATGCTGCCTCTCCCGCGAAAAGTACACGTGCAGCCAAGCACTAAGTCAGAGGATGCGGTGCAGGGCATGCTGAAGGTCCATGAACTTCCCATGTATCACGAGAGAGGAGGCGGCTTGGAAGGGCAGTCTTTTCGGGAGAACCTGTCATTCAGGCTAAGCAGTTTCAGCGGGCTAGTCTTCAAGCCCTACGTGTTGCCTCCTATGCTTGACGAAGAGGTCACGGGGGCAAAGAATCAGGGGAACAAGGAACAAAAATTGGAGTTTTGAGTTGCAACCGCTTGTAATCAACCCGAATATATCTACAGAATCGAAATTGCGCATCGCAGAACAGTGTGTGCTCGCAAGACACAAACTCTGAACGTGATGCCCCACGATGATGCAAAAACAATGGAAGCAACTAATACTTCGCGCTGTACGCAACCACTAACGTGGCTTTGGGGGAGATGGCTTCGTACCAACGGGCCTTGATTGCCAACGGCATTGGAAATGCGAGGCCGTATTTCTAGGCGAGCTACACCTTTTATTTAATCAAGTTGCCAAGGAATATAACGGCGATGCAAGATGGAGGAGATACGGCAACAGTGAATGCTACGTACCAAGGACTACAATCGCACAGCCACCGCGCCACAGACTGAATCACCGGAAGATACTGCCTGACCGCCTTGCTCCACCAACATACTCCAAAACTCCAAACTCTCCAAAAAAATTCTGAATTCTTCCCTTTGACCCCAACAAGCAAGCATCAGGGTAAGTCACTGAACCGTCTCTTTCTTATCCCCTCTTCGAAAAGCTCAAATGATTAAACACCTAATCTCAATCAATCTGTCAATCCACTGACATTCTGTGACGATATCTTTCATTAATGCAATATGATTTTTGTGGCTTCCGCCCCATTTGCTATGCGATTTCAAAATATTGATTTCAGCAGTTGCTAATACCTCGACGAGTAGGCAAATAACAGCAGCAAAATCCCACCAGGCAGGACGTGCCGCAAGGGACAATCATGGCAGCTTCGGAGGATTCCGTACCCCCTCCTGTGCGCATCTCCAAGATCGCAGACCGCTATCTGGTCTTCGACGCCCAAGACGTGGCTATCATCCGGCGCAACCACAACATCTGCTCAATACTAGTGGGAACTACACCTCAGAATCCAACCCAGAACGTATTTCTTAGTTTACCGCTTGAACTGCTACCTGAAGAGGCCAGCGTGCTCGTCGAGAAGAAGGTAGGCCGTCTCGTCGATGAGGCTTCGTACCACTTGTCGTCCTTGCGCTCCCCGGAGGGGATCACCCGCCAGACCTACATTACACTTCTTAAGGATCGCCGGCATACGGCCCAGAAGCTACTGGCTGAGGACCAGGCCAGAAAGGCAGCCATGGAACAAGCGAGGAGGGTCAACGGCGCCAAAAGACCTTCCGCTGCCCCCAACCCAGCTGACCAATTGGACCTATTCCCTCCAGAAACATCCATCCTGGACAGTTCTGCTAAACCCCGTGATAGTGCTGGTGCCCAATTAGCGTTAACAGTCACACCAACAACCAGCGATGGCCTGCAGATCCTCTCGGAGGATGGGTCGGACCCTGTGGGCTGGCCTCCTGCTGTTCCGTTGCATCGGCACCTACAATCGAAGGGCTACTTTATGACGCCTGGCCTCCGTTTCGGCGCTGACTACAGCGTGTATCCCGGTGACCCACTTCGATATCACGCCCACTTCCTCGCCACAAACTACGACTGCGACGAGAACATACCCATGCTTGATATTGTCGGTAGTGGTCGCCTAGGCACCTCGGTCAAAAAGGGATTCTTGTTTGGCGGTGAGGTACCTGACCTGGGTGGATCCTCGAGGCAGGTGCGCACGTTTTGTGTTGAATGGGCTGGGATGTGATTGAACACGGACAAGAACGATCATGAATGAAGGATACCGCCTGATGCTAAGCCCAGAGCTGCTGTATAACATCGTACCACTAAGATACCCCATTTGGATGAACGAATCTAAGTCTTCCGAATGGCCACGGACGCCTACATGGCTACCGTGCTCTCTACCACAATCTTGTTTCGTTGAGATACATCTCCAATATACACAGCCGACAGTCTTACTGTTCCAGTCCGCTGACACTCAAGGAACGTAAATCCTGCTGAAACTGATAACCTCCCTGCGACAGCAGACACACTTATCGAAGTTATTCATAGCAAGTGAGACGCGACAGTCGTCGCACAAGCTCAGGCAGCGGCACGGCCATACGATGATAGTGCGAGGAGAACTCTGACAGACAACACATTGCGGACCATCCGGACCAAGACCGGCAGCACCCTCAGCCCACGTCGACGCACCATCATCCATGGAACGTGTAGAGTTAGCGCGGCGAGACAGTAACAACTGTTCCAAGCGTTGAGCCTCCTCGTCTGGCGTCATCTTTACCGGCCGCACCATGATACGACTGGCTCGTCCGCCTGGTTGTAATATCCTCGTCTTCTGTAGCTGCTGTACCCTACGATACTGTGATCGGGTCATGATTTTGTCGCTGCTCAGATGGGCAGCTAGAGCGTGCGCCTCCTCTCTCTCCTCCGGGTTGCTCGGATGTAGCAGGCGTGCAAGATCTGACAACTGAAGTGAATCTTCAGGGATTGGTGTAGCTTCCCGGGAAGCCCATGACCTGGTCTGCGTAGGTGTTCGTTGCCCATCCTCCTCCGACTCCCATTCACTATCATTATTGGTGCTGAAAGACACAACGCTTGTGACATCGTCATCGTCGTCTGCGTCGCCAGACGCGTATGGTTGGTATTCGCCGCTGTTGTCTTTCGAGCCCCACCAACCCCCTCTGAGCCACCATCCGTATAGCCTCGAGTCAAGATCAGCCTCGTCGATAGGGGCCCAGTTCTCGCCTCCCCTCCATGCCTGTTGTCTGAACTCGGACTCGACATCAACGCCATCAATTCTGGGGATGTTCAGAGACTCTGTCGAGTCTGCAGGTGCATGTACATGACTTGTACTGACACCGTGGCTTGAGCTCCTCGTATCATTGGCAGCCTTTGGTCGACGAACGACCCAGAGCAGAAACTTTGGATGGCGGAAACCGATTTTGGACAGAATCTTCAGCATGGCTGTAGCCCACGTTCGGAATATCAGCCTGTTGATATTCATGATGAAATCCAGCGCCATCAACCACCTGCCGCTTCGTTCCGCAGCGCCGACACCGTCCCTTAGCCGTCGCTCTCCTGAACGAGACTTGGGCACCTTCTGTGCTGCTCGCTCACGAGCATAACCATTCGCAGCCAATATGTTATCATCTTTCACAGGCACCAGGCCGATGGTACCTATGGTGTCGTAGTGGGAGTCCGTCGCACCAGCTCCAATCCACTGCGTCCGCAGATCCTCGAGCTCCCGATATCTCTCCTCCTCAAGCCATGTATAGGGCCGCATTGTGACGTCCCTGTCTTCATTCAGGTAAACAGCTTCGCTTGCCATTGTAATAGCGCCAAACCCAGTTCGTAGCAAGGCTGTGTAAAAGTCCATTTCCATGCTAATGCGGATGTCGGACAAGGAGAGGTTGGCTTGCATGTTTGCGTGGGCGTGGACCAGTCGTTCTTGAAGACTCAACCTCTGTCCTGTTTGTCCATCCGTAGGAGTAAGAGCGGCTAATCCAAGAGCCAGTAGGTATATGAACAAACAGATAAGAATGCCACCAAGAACAAGTACGTGAGGAATGAAGCCGATGATACAGACCGTGGGAAATCTGAGCAGTCCTTGTTTTGCTGGATCGTCCAAAGAGAACGTCAAGGCACTCCAGAGGATGCTCGCCATAAAGCAGAGACCCCAGAACCCAGTACTGACCAGACGAAATTTGGCCTGCAGATTAAAAATACCCAGCATATGGCTGGTGATATGGCTCATAGCCGAGAGGAAAGCGATTAACAGTACCTCAGGCGAAGTATTGACTCTCTTTAGAATCATGGAGCGACTGATGGCAATAGTACCGCCAGCACTAGATGTAGCCTCTGCTGTTTGCGACTGAGTAAATAAGCCCCAGCCCAGCTGATTACTGATAGCGGCATCGGCTTCTGCAAACGCAAGAGAGTGTTCGAAGAGTGTCATGCCCGTCTCTGCTGCCACAGGTCGGCCCTGGACGGCACAGGAGACGGTCTCCAAGAATTGGCTAAGGCAAAAAGTGCCAAAGAGGGGCCATAGGAGAGATAATGAACCCCGCAGTTCCTGTGCTGCATCGTCAACATCTGCCGGCACCATACCCACGGCCATGCAGGACTCTTCGTCTGAAGCGCCTAGCAAGATTGTAGAACTCATGGTGTGAAGGAATCCCCCGGCTTGGGAGAACATAAGATCAGAGCTCTTGTTTGTGTTTCCCCATCGCATCTGTGAGAAGTCGGGGGAGGTCTGACACTGGATTGAGCGCAGAAGCCCGCGGGCTTGTACCAGAAACAGGAGCACTGGAAGACCGCGGAGCAGCAGCCGAACGGGTAAGGTGAGCCGCAAGCGTCGACGTGTAGCAGCAAATATGTGGGTTCGGTTGAGTACGATGGCCATGGCGATACAGCAAAGCGCCCATTTGCTCGTAGCATAGCTGAAGACACTGCCAAGGCCTTTTGCGCCCTCCATGGTGAACTTAGGGGAGACCCCACCGACATCCGAATCAAGCAGAACAGCAGGTCCAGGTCCATGAGAACGGACCATGGGAGGCGCCATGTCCATAATAAAGGCAACAGTGGTGGCAAGGTCGGTAGTGCGTAGTATCCCAGAACCTGTTGCTTCGGGGATGACTCTCTGACCGAGAGCGTCAAGTGAATCAGGAAAGGGTAGGTAGGCTGTGAGCTTCTGGACCATTCTCGGACCAGCCCATACCAGATCTTCGAGGGAGGGAGCGAGCTTGGTAACGTTGACGGCGTATTGAATTCGGTAAGCGGTCCACAGCGAAAGGTTTTGCCAGACCCCGGGTTTGTCTAGCGAACCTGGTTGTTGAGGAGTGTCCATGATCTGCTAGAAAGTACACTGGTATTAAGATCGGGTGTCGGCTGAGGAAACGACTGCAGCCTTGTCGCCCAGAGCGGCTGTATGTGTCGCAACACAAATCATGAGCGGTGGGATCGAAGGCGACGGCACATGATGCGGGCAGAGAGCAGAAGGAGATGTCGGTCAAAGGATTAACAGATGATGGCGGTTAGGGAGGAGGTTGGGAAACCAGTTGTTGGTGGTGCTCTATTGACGGGCGAATTTAAGGATCGGTAGATCTGTCTCGAGCGGTCGAATAGGTGCGGTATCGAAAGTGGGTAGATGAGAGGTGGGAGGGGGAAGGAGGTTGACGAAGAGGAGATGGACGGAAGCTCGGATGAGATGGATAGGATGTCGCGTGCGACGGGTAGCTCGCTGAGTCGCTCCTGCGCAGCGGCGTGCGCTCCACCACGCTATGTACGTACAGCTAGCAGCTGGAGACGGCGTTCCGACAGGTGGGCCCATTTAACTGTATGCTTGGGGTAAAGTGGATACAAAAGCACTGACAAGTGCGGTGTCGCCTACGGTACCTACGTAGGGTAGTCCTTATGTGGAATAATGACGGTCACTGGGGGTATGGAGTTTTAGAGCCCGGTAGAGGGATATCGACCTACATTGTTGTGAACTACTACTGAGTCAGAGCAGGCTTGGTGCTGCGACCCTCCTTGAATGCACACATTCCAGAACACTAACTGTATTTTACATGCAGCTGGAAATGAGTATCAATCAACCCATAGCATTTGCTTGCCTACTTCTTCGTAAAAGTGCCTGTGAGGTTATTGCCTTCAGCTACAATGTTGGACAAGTATCAACGCTTCTGCAGGCAATGAATGCTTCGGCCTATCGACGCTCAGCTTCATGACCCAGGCCCCTCAATAATAACACCAATACTAGTCTTTCCACATCGAAGATTCCGAAGTAGCATAAAGATAATCCTCCCACCATCTGATGTCATCGGCGATGAATATGCCGTGGTACACCAGAGCTTCGTCTGCATGGAAGGGTGACTCTCAAAGTAGCCAACCCCTTCCGTTAACCATAGCCTTTTTCGCAAAACTGCGAGCTTTGTCTTCTCCAATTGCTCGAAGTCTTCCAATTGCTCGAGGGACCTCATTTTTGCCGCCGCTCCGAGCACTTTATAGTAAATTTTAAGTTTGCAGGCCATAGTTTGGGCGAACGATGTAGGAGGCCCCTTGCTCATTGAAGCACAACGCAACTAGCAATGAACCGTAGCCTAGTTTTTATGCCGCCCATTCAGCTCGCTTAACCATGGATAATTCAGCTGTTGGGAGGTTGGTTATATTGAAGTCTTTCAAGAACCGCACGGTAGTTGCCCTTAGATGCTTGAATTGCACGACCCACGAGTTTCGTATGCAGTAAAGGGTCCGACAGTGAAAGATGGCCTTTCACCCAGAGGTTGGTGATCTCGGCACGAGTTGGTAGATAGGCGACACAGCAAGCAGCCAGTATCTTTTCGTGTTCCACAGACACTGGGTCCATAACAATGGATGGCGAGGCCATATCGTCCTTGTCTGACGCAACAAGGGCCGCAACACCGCCAGTGACCATGTCGACGCAATCGATGCCAGCATCCGCAAGAGCCGCCGCGGCAACTGTGATGCACCCACTGAGAACGTTCATCATGTCCCACTCATCATTGCCGTGAAAGTGAGAAACCTCTCGCTCCTGATCGCCTTCAACGATGGTAACAACAACGTCAACGCCACTCTTGGGCCACCGGTCGGCGATGATGACTCCACGAAGGGCCGTATCGAGATGAACGCTGATGTCCCTTTCACTCGAATCGCGGAGGTAGCTGCGGCGTTGACGCGTGGCGAAAGGGGCGTATTTGACATGAGTTGAGAGCACCAGATAGGGTGAAAATGGTGCAGATCGAGGAAGGGAGCGAGGTCCGTGGACAGTGCAGATAAGTTTCATGCCATTGGTCTTGAATTTTGATTTCACATCGCTGTGAGGAGGCTCGATCTCCATATAGGCTGAGCCTGACGCCGTCGGAGTAACCCCAGTCTTGAGAACTTGCTACTGTCAGCTTCATTAAGCGCCGATGAGAAGGTGAGAGTGAACCAACACAAGCCCCGTATGCCGTTTGCTGGTCTTGCCCGGTGAGTTGAGTTTGAGCTGACGGTGTCGTAGACTGGCGGTAAAGTTGCGCCGGGTGGCCCGTTGATTCTTCGCCGATCGGCCATAGTCAAGACGGTCCTTTAGAAAGGTTGCGTGGTCGGTTGGTGACGCAATAGGAAGATGTGTGACGGATGCAAAGACCTCAGACCAAGTTCGCAGAACTCGCCCGGTGTTTTCTAGAGTATACTGATTGAGTCTTTCGGCGGGTTGAAATACAAAAACGGCCCCTCTTATTTTGTCTAGGACCGTCGCTTGACCATGGATCTTGAGGTTGGTTGAAATGAATTTTCACGTAAGGTACTTTCCTAATGTGCTAAACAAATGGGCCTCAGCTAAGCTCGGTTAGACGCAACGACCGTATTGGTGCTGACCTACCTAGGTACATTAGCGAGTTCAAGTGGGTATATGTTGTTAGGCCATATAGTCTGCAAATACTTCAAGCCTGAAAATTTCTGCAGGGTCGGACATTCTTTCAACCCCAACAACAATTACTTCTCTGGCTTCACGATTCTGCGGCCAGCCGCAGCAAAAAGGCTGCGGCTGCGAGGTCAGCCTCGAGGACTTCTTGCTCTGTAAGTCCGCAACATGCCTCAACCCGCCTCCCAACTCTATGATGTATATCATACACACTGTTCCCGCGAACTCCTGAGCGCAAGAACAAACATGCATCACCATCTGACCCCCCACCTATCTTGGGCTTCGAACAAATGTTTGCATCAACAATTGAGGGCAATCGCTGACTCAAACTCCAGGGTCTCGTGCAAGCAATGGACAGGTGTTGTTGCTCGACTATGGCTGAGCTCCCTTTTTACTATCTTGGTTTCTTCCCGGGTAAGTTAGCAAGATTTCCCTTCCCACGTTTCCGCCAGTACCACTCCCTCGATGGCTGTCGACTATGATGAACAAACTTTTCATTCAGTTCTGCTACTGAACACTGTGATGATACCCATATACCAAAAACCTTGTCTGATACGACGACTATCTCTACCAATTCGTTACAAGCTACTGAGGAGAACCATCTAGCTGACCGAGATGTGTGTTAAGCAGGAAATGCAACGTGTAGGTATCGATGTTGAGTATCGCGAGTTGTGGCCCATTGCTCCTATCATTCTATTCCCGCCCTCTCGTGGTTGTCAGGTAAGCCTCCCCACTCGCTTTCATTTCGTCCAATGCCCAAGCTGTATGCTTGTCCCTTCACCATGATGACTATAGCTTATCCATTCAACTATCTCACGCCAGTCGAGTCATCCTCCCACACCAGAGCTACTCTTTGGAGGAGCGAGGAAGGTGGTGGAGTTGGTCCTTTAAGGGACTATCATTTGACTTCAGTGTTTCGCTTCGTGGTTCTTCGTTCTGAGGTTCTGGGCTGTCGAGGCCGACTTGGCTGAATGAGTAAAACCGGCTTGCCTGACCCGATGGCATCATCTAGCTTGGGCACGACGTACGCCATGTTTGCACCGTTGCTAATATGATTTTTCAGCAGGCTCCTGAGATAGTTCTATCGGCACTCATGGTGACGCCCGAACCGTATGACATGTTTTTTTCGCTTGTGATCACAAATTGCGTGCTTGACGTTTGTTTGAAGCCGACCATTGAGTTCATGGAGAGTGATGTCTAAGATAACTTAGAACCTTCGACTAATTGCCGTATGTAAGGACATTCGGTCCATTCATATGGATTGTCATTTCGTGATTAATAAAGTGAGGCCACAATATGGCTATGCTTGGCTTTCCAGTTTTGATACCGTCATGCCATTACGAGGAGAGGTAATGTGTTGCTGTGTTTGCGCGTGAGAATGGCAGATTGCAATCGCATGTTTCTTCGATAACATTTTTTGCAAGTATCATTCGACAAAGCTGCCATCTTCGAAAATCAAACGGTGCAACTGTCCATCTCGTTGGCTATCGGGCTACTTCAAGCAGCTATTCAACCTGCAGACAGCTTACTGTTGGGCATTGCACGTAAGCAACAGGCTGTGTCAGCTGCTCCTCAGTTTATTGAGCTCATGAGGTTTGATTTTTATTCAGCCACTTTCTTCTTCGCGGCCTTCCTGTCACATGGTAACAGCTGTAACATGTACGATGACTCGTCTCGGTGTCTTGTCATTAGACATGATGGCAAACGAATCAGTGCCGTCATCTATGGTGTTCGGCAACGGATAGAGAAGCAGGCAGTATGGCATTGACCTGGCGTACAGATAACTGGCTGTAACTTATGGCACAATAGTTGGTAGTCCAGTAAGTAGTGTAAGTGTGAGAATAGTTCTACCCCTCTTCTTTGCGTGCATATTTGGTTCCTTACGACAAGAGGTGAAGCCAAGGCATGATTGTATATAGGCGGGAGGTACCAGTACTGAGGCAGGGCACCGAGTTATCTTGTCGAAGCCCACTATATCGACTGCTGTCTCAAAAGTAAATAGGAGCTAATGATACAGCCTGGCTTGGATTTTGTCCAATCACAACACTTTCAGTAAAAGTCAAGACATTGCTTGTCCCATGTTCCCTGAGACAAGGAAGGTACTTACACCTTGGTGCACGCACCATTGGGTGATCTTGAGCGCTGAAGGGAGTAGCTAGGGCTGTATTCGTACCCCTTGCACAGGACATGTGGTGCTAATTCAAGGGAGTGCCAGGCAAGGTACCCTCAGGTCCATTGGATAACAGAGAGGCGGGCAGTCTGAAAATCAAATAATACGTAGCCATTAGCTGGTGAGTTCCGCGACCAGATCTCGAATTCCGCCGCATCTCTTTTCCCCTGTAATTCAACTACATCTATCTCAAGACGCGACAGCGCTTCTTCTTTTGTCGACACAGCCGACAAACACACATCATCTCGACCACGGCTTCGACGACACTTCAACAACACTCGCTTCCCAAACCGACCCATCCTTTGTCTCCCAGTCGCCCGATCGCAATCCTCGCTCCTCTTGCCTCTAGATGCTCTCCTCTGCTTAACCCTCACAACTCCGAAGAGCTGGGCGAGGTGTTTCACTACCAACTCTACACCCTCTAGCTCAAGATCGGATGTTGCCATCGTATGCTTCCTCGACCACCTCAAAGGTGGTGCCCCGGCATCATGCTAGTGGCTACTCAAATGGATATCCAAGGGGAAACACCTTTGAGATCTCCCCTCACAGGTAATAGAACACACATCATCACGCCCTGCTACATGTCCACCTTCGTCTTTCTACGCCGCGCCTCGGCTAACCCTTCCGGCCTTGTCTGATAGATACCAACCACGCTCATCGACACCTGCAAACCGTCGCCGCCAACGCCTATTGACCCGCCTCGTTATTTTTGTCGCTGTCTCCATCCTCTTCCTGGTTTTCGCATGGCCTGGGGCCTCCTTGACTTCCATCTTCTCTCTCGGCTTGCTGTCCGCCAGCAAAGAGCTACAGCTCGAGACAGTGCGATACTACGACCTCAGCAACGTACAAGGGACTGCCCGGGGTTGGGAACGCGAAGAGCGCATTCTCCTTTGCGTGCCTTTGAGAGACGCCGAGCCGCATTTGCCAATGTTCTTTTCCCACTTGCGAAACTTTACCTATCCTCACCACCTCATCGATCTTGCCTTTCTCGTGTCCGACTCCAAGGACCGCACTCTCCAGGTCCTCTCCAACATGCTTGAAGAAATCCAAGCTGATGAAGATGCGAAGCAGCCATACGGAGAAATCTCCATCATTGAGAAAGACTTTGGACAAAAGGTGAACCAGGACGTCGAGAGCCGTCATGGGTTTGCAGCTCAGGCAAGCAGAAGAAAATTGATGGCGCAAGCCCGGAACTGGCTTCTGAGTGCTGCATTGCGTCCCTACCACTCCTGGGTATACTGGCGTGATGTCGATGTTGAGACGGCCCCTTTCACTATTCTCGAGGATCTCATGCGTCACAACAAGGACGTCATTGTGCCGAGTAAGCCTTGACGCTCCCCATGAGTTTCAAAGTCTTGGGCTAATCAGCTATAGATGTATGGCGTCCTTTGCCTGACTGGCTCGGCGGAGAGCAGCCCTACGATCTTAACTCGTGGCAAGAGTCAGAGACAGCGTTGGCTCTTGCGGATACCCTCGACGAAGACGCCGTGATTGTCGAAGGCTACGCTGAATACGCAACATGGCGACCTCATCTGGCATATCTGCGAGACCCATACGGTGACCCAGATATGGAGATGGAAATTGATGGGGTGGGTGGTGTCAGTATCTTGGCTAAGGCTAAGGTTTTCCGGTCCGGAGTCCATTTCCCAGCCTTCAGTTTTGAGAAGCATGCCGAGACGGAAGGATTTGGAAAGGTAAGAGGCCTCCATCAGTATGCTTGGAGGCAGCAATGCTAACTTTCGCCGCATAGATGGCGAAACGAATGCAGTACTCTGTGGTTGGTTTACCGCACTACACGATTTGGCACCTTTACGAACCAAGTGTTGACGACATCAAGCATATGGAGGTACGTTGATTTCTCAACATACAAACGTAAAGCGTGGAACTAATTTGGCATAGGAGATGGAGCAGGAGAGGCTCGCAAGAGAAAAGGAAGAAGAAGAGAAGGCCGAGAAGGCCAAGAAGGTTAAGGAGCAGTTCGGAGATGCAAGCAGTCAATGGGAGAAAGACAAGTCGGACATGCAAAATCTGGTGACGGAAGAAAAGAATGAGGCCAAGGGAGTAAAGGAGACTGGAGACAAGAAGCATGCGGCAGACAATGACGAAAAGCCAGCAAAGAAGGAAAGAAAGGAGAAGAACGACGCTGCTTTCGTCAAGAAGGCAGAGAGCTGAGACCATCAATGGGGGAAGGCATCGTTATGGGACAACCCTTCTACGATGCTGGCCAGGAATGATCCATGTGCCTCAGAGGTTGAGGATAGTTACGATCTTCCATAACGTGTCTTGCTGTGTAAAATGTTACTCTTGAATCATCAGAATAGGGATGTTGCAGAAAGGCGTTGGTCTGGCCGGTATCTTTGGGGCGCTTCAAAGAGGCTATGTTATGGGCACCGTATTGGGCATGGGGCGGCTCACAGCGGTGACATGAGTACCTAATTTGATTATTGTTGATTTATGAAGCGGAATTCTCTTTAATGGGCTACTAGGAGAAAAGTGCCTTTGCCTTTGGTGGAGAAATACGTCACGTGGGTCTAAAGTGTAGATGCAAGTCTTATCGGTGAGACTCTTATCGGGCCATTGCAAGCCCAATGTAACTCCCAGCTCGAAGGTGCTCTGCAGCAGTACTCTACTTACCTAGGTAAGGTACCTTAGGTACCTAACTAAGCCAGGGGCAGAAGGCACCTGATGGCCACAAAGACTACAGTTCGTGCTGAAGCTCCTACATCTGCGTCTGCAACCTGGTCAGTTCCACTTGGGGGTCTTTTTTTGGCTACAGCTTGGACAAGACACCTAAATCTCAACGACCCCAAATCTGCTGACTGCAAGCCTTGAGGCACAACATCGAACGGCTTTCCGGATACTTGTCCTCAACCTTCCTTTCAACTGGATCGCATAAAGAAATTAGCAAACGAAATTGAACGCAACTTGCCCGTTCAACCCCCTTGTCAACATTGCCATTCCTTTCCCTTCCGCCCACCTGGGAGAGCAAGAACTCTCACGCAAGACTCGCCATCGCGCACATCCAAATACCGCAAGTCCACCACCATAACATGAGTCGAGATGACGATGACTTGTTGCATACAGAAACGGCTTCTGCCGTTGGCGCCCGTTCCAGTGTAGACCTACGCCACGTGGGCAGCACACCAGCGATTGCGCCTAGGATGCAATATCGAAGCCGCCCCGTTTCAGTCGCTGTAGATCCAGTCTCCCTGGTCATGTCCGAATGCATATCGATCACCTCAGCGATCCAGAAACATGCGCGATCTCCTCATTCCTCCGTATCAGCCATTCTGGGCGGGAACCCAAACCCTATTAACCTTGGGTCCCCAAACCCTTCGCCAAGGGGCGCCGCTTTGAAGACATCAGGGGCTGGACTCGGGATAGATGGTGCACAGGACATTACTTCTGCCAACAGATGGGGCCTGCGCGGGAAGAAGGGCCGCAGTATACAGGACAATCCTTTAATGGCTGGCTTCGGGAAGCTTCGCCATGAACTGGCCAGCGTTAGAGGTAGGATCCAGATTCCCTCTCGCCTAACTCTACATACCAATTCTCTACTGGAACCGTCCTGTTGACCATGGTGCACTTCAGACATCCACTCATTCGATGCCTTGTCTCTCTTGAATCCATTCTTGCAGATTATCCAGACCAAAGGCACTGCGGCCCCTATAACGATCCTTACGTTGGGAGCCCTCCGCAAGTTTCTGGCGTACGGCTTCATCAGCCCCACCTCTCCAAGATTCGCTCTTGCGATGCAGTCACTGTCTGCAGCAGTGACCCGATGTCAGTTCGACGGAAGCGACGCTGGTCAAGTGGAAGTCGTTCTTCTGATGATTCTACACTTGATGGAGGACATGATGTCGGGCCCGGGAGGCGACATTCTAAGTGATGAGAGTGTCTGCGATATGATGGGCAGGGGGTTGGCAATCTGTTCACAGCCTCGATTTTCACCCGTTTTGCGCCGAACTGCCGAAGCGTCGATGGTTCGCATGTGCCAGATCATCTTTGAAGACGTCAAACATCTCGAGGTTGAAGCCGGGGTCGAGTCTGATGCTCTTGACAAGCAAACGAGCGCCGACATGGATAGTGTCAAGATGGACCCCGTTACCAGCAATGCACCAGGCTTGCAGGTAACCAGTTCTGAGCAGGATGTGCGCTTGTCCACGTCAAGCTCGACGGTTTTGGATCCAGACCCCCGTTCTCAAATAAGCTCTGAGTCCGGGGACAGCAAGGCCGACATTGGAACAGGCATCGAGACCGAAGGCGAGGTTGACGCCGATGGTGCAGAAAGCTCCGATTCTCTGGACCTCCGACCTTATTCTCTGCCCTCTGTCCGAGAGCTCTTCCGGGTTTTGGTTAACTTCTTGGACCCCAATGACCGCCAGCACACGGACACGATGAGAGTTATGGCATTGCGTATCATTCACGTAGCCCTGGAGGTCTCCGGGCCCTCAATTGCGCGGCATCCAGCTTTGGCCGGCATCGCTGAAGACCGTCTTTGTTGCTATCTTTTCCAGCTCGTTAGATCCGACAACATGGCCATTCTGCAGGAGTCGCTCATTGTTGCTGGAACATTACTGGCCACGTGCCGTGGTGTTCTTAAGCTACAGCTGGAGTTGTTTCTCTCCTATCTTGTCGCATGTCTTCATCCGTCGGTGGAAATACCTCGCGAACCCGGCATTGATCCATCATTGTACGCCGGCATTCCCCAATCCCCAAAGCTTGTCAAGCCCCCGCCATCGCAAACGAGTAGTGGGCGCTCAACGCCAGTACCCGTCAAGGATCGACAGAAGCTCGGCTTGGAGGGCGGTGCAAGGAAGCCTGACGCGAGGCAGGCAATGGTCGAAAGCATTGGTGTGCTGTCGAGAATGCCGACTTTCATGGCCGAGCTCTTTATCAACTACGATTGTGATGCTGACCGAGCGGATCTGTGCGAAGACATGATCGGTCTTCTTTCTCGTAATGCCCTGCCAGATTCTGCAACCTGGAGCACGACGAGTGTTCCCCCTCTATGCCTGGATGCACTACTTAGATATGTCCAGTTTATAGCTGAACGACTAGATGAGCCGCATGTCATCGATGGTTACCCAGACGCTACGGCTTTGAGGGAGCAAAGACGCAAGAAGAAGATCATCATCAAGGGGACCAGCAAGTTTAACGAGAACCCCAAAGGCGGGCTCGCATATCTTGAGGCCCAAGGCATCATTGCGGACGTTAAAGACCCAGCTGCCGTTGCCAGGTTTTTAAAAGGTACTTCTCGAGTGTCCAAGAAGGTTCTCGGTGAGTACCTTTCCAAGAAAGGGAGTGAAGACGTGCTGGAAGCATACATGAACCAGTTCGACTTCTCCGAGAAGCGCGTGGACGAGGCACTCAGGGGGCTGTTGGAGACATTCAGGTTGCCGGGCGAGTCGGCCCTGATCGAGAGAATCGTCACTTGTTTCGCCGACAAATACTGTTCCAGGGCAAAGCCAACAGAGGTCGCCAACGCTGACGCTGTTTTCGTCTTGACATACGCCATCATCATGCTGAATACTGACCAGCACAACCCTAATCTCAAGGGTCAAAAGCGCATGACAGTGGAAGATTTCGCACGCAACTTGAGAGGCGTAAACGATGGCAAGGACTTTGCGCCTGAGTATCTACAAGAAATTTTTGACAACATTAGGACCAACGAAATCATCCTGCCTGACGAGCACGACAACAAGCACGCTTTTGACTATGCTTGGCGAGAGCTCCTTGTCAAGTCGGAATCTGTGCAGCCTCTGGTTCTTTGCGAGACGAACATTTACGATGCCGACATGTTTGCTTCAACCTGGCGGCCAATCGTGTCCACATTGTCCTACGTTTTTATGTCCGCCACCGACGATGCAGTGTTCGCCAGGATCGTCACTGGGTTTGATGAATGCGCTCGAATAGCGGCTAGTTACCAAAACACCGAAGCCCTGGACCAGATTATCTACTCTCTCAGTCATATGACAACGTTGGCTACCGACATGCCTTCCAACACGAGCCTGAACACGGAGGTTCAGGCTGGCGAGAGTAGTGTTATGGTGAGCGAGTTGGCGGTCAAGCTCGGGAGGGACTTCAGGGCACAGCTGGCGACCTTGGTTCTCTTCCGAGTTGTCACCGGTAGTGAAAAGCTGATTCGGAATGGCTGGAAACACGTATGCGAATCCCTTCCTGCGCACATGTTTATGCTGATAGGACTAACATCTTATAGATCACCCGTATCTGGCTCAACCTTTTTATTAACTCTCTGGTTCCTCCGTTCTTCTCTGCAGACTCTCCAGTCTTAGACATCGCCCCGATTCCTCTGCAAACCCCGTCCCAAGTTATTGATCGAGCAGCCAAGACGGTTGAAACGGGCTTCTTCTCTGCGTTCACCAGTTACATCTCCAGCTACGCGGCAGATGACCCTCCAGAGCCCTCAGATGAGGAGTTGGAGAGTACTCTTTGCACTGTCGACTGTGTGAACTCTTGCCACATGGGCAACGTCTTCGCGAACATCTCGTAAGTCGTCCTACATCTCTGAGAAATTCACTCGTTAATGTGTCCAACCTAGTAAGCTTTCGCCTCAAGAATTGGAACCGCTGGTTAGTGCTCTGCTCGACGCGCTGCCAGAAGACCATAGCACCACGGTTATAGTTGTGAAGTCCGAGAATGCGCCAGCGGCGCCTATGAACGGCCAGAAGCCAGCGCAGACGAACGTTGTGTACGACCCTGCCATGGCCTACATTCTTGAGTTTAGTACAGTGCTCGCCCTCCGAGACCAAGACACTATTCAACTTGTCGGCAAACGAGTCATTGAAGCACTACAAGCTGTACTGCGAGATGCTGGAAATTACCACTACATCATTGTCTCGAGAGCTACATTCTACCTGCTTAAACTACTGCAAGTTAGCTACGTATGTATCTTTCTTCCTCTCTATACTACTTGGGAGTCATCCGTCTCATTCATGGTACAACATAGGCTCATGACTACATCAACGTCCCGGTTCTGTTGCATACAATCTCAAGCTTTGCGAAAGAGATTTTGACCAAGACTTCCGCCTTGGTCCTTCAGGGGTTAAGGCAATGCATTGACGAGCCCAGCCCCTTACGCAATGAGATCATGACCTCTCCTGACTTCTGGGCGATAATGCGCGCATTGGCAGGGCGGCAGGAATCTGCACCGCGCGTGTTCGACATTCTCGAGCTGGGCTGTGGAGGCGCACCCCCAGCGATCATTGCAGACAACTATGAAGCAGCGATTTCTCTCCTCGGTGACTTCGCCTCTGCAGCTGGACGGGCTGTACTAGCGGAACGCAAGCTTGACTCACAGCAACGCAGAGCTCACGAAGGAACTCGTGAGAAAACAAAGTGAGCAACGACGTGTGTCGCCCCTTGAATATTGATCTGGACTGACCGGCCAGCAGCGTTAATGAAGCTATTGCACGCGGATCTAAGGCGGTCAGTAGTATCTATAACATGACAATGCGCATTCCCTTTTTGATGAAGCAATCTCACCTAGAGAGCGACGAAGGTAAGCCCGCCCTCTTCTCGATTCTGGATGACTTAGACTATGAGATTAATAAGGTCTTCAAGCGTGGTCTGCTTACTGGCTCCCCGTCTTCCAAGCACTCACCACACAGTGTACGAACCCATGTCGCGACGTACGCCTCCAAGCCTTTACCTCATTGCAGCGGTCGCTGCTTTCCCCGGATCTTACTTGTAGCGATCACAAGGAATGGACAGCCATCTTTGGCGAGGTCTTGTTCCCACTGATCCACAAACTTTTGAAGCCAGAAGTCTTTTCATCGGACAGAGACGGTATGAGTGAAATGCGGGTACAAGCAGCGTCGCTGCTCTGTAAGGTCTTCCTCCAATACTTAGTTCTGCTCTCGAAATGGGATGGAATGTTGGATCTCTGGGTCAAGATTATCGACATCATGGATCGGCTGATGAATAGTGGTCAGGGCGATAGCCTCGTAAGTCAACATGTCCAGGTTTACGGCGCGGGGTAAGGCTAACAAATCAATAGGAAGAGGCAGTTCGGGAAAACTTGAAGAACGTGGTTCTTTTTATGGCGAGCAGCGGCTTCCTGGTTTCTCCCACCAAAGATGCGTCGAGAGAAAATCTGTGGAATGAGACTTGGAAACGGATTGACCGATTCCTGCCAGATTTGAAGAGCGACCTGGCTTTAGAAGAACCTCAATGCGGCGAGGAACAGGCGCAAACGGCAGAGGCAGATGCATAAACACTCTCAGACAGGTAACCTCACGTAGTAGGGGTTCGATATGTCTATATAGATATGGGATAGCTGAGAAATCCGACCGTCAAGCTATTACATTGTCGATGCAGTTACGATGTGGGCTGGTAGAGCAGTGTGTGTTGTGCGTTTTACCGCCAACGTTTCTAACTAGCTTCGCTTAGATGATGTAGTCCTGAATGCATTCTACATCACCTCGCACAGTATCGGAATAAGGGGTCACTAATCCTTTAATTTATGTAGAGGGTGTCAACTAAGGATCGTTTGCCTTTCAGCCTAGTTAGATGTCGCAATGAAGTGGAAATCTTGTTTAATCGGCATAAAGCATGTCTAGGCATCCTATGCGGTTTCTTTACCTTCGACCCGCTGGAACATACAAGTTGGTGACCAGTAGTCTAAAAACAAAACAAAAAGTAACAGACCACAAATCTCTCACTAAAAAGTGAGAGGGAAAGCAAAAATAGAACATACAACACCAGATATTCGCTGGTCGTCACCGACCCAACTACTAATCCGGCCCTCATGAAGTGTTAGCTGTGAGAGTCTTGGCCTCCTGATTTTGAAGCATGGTACTTCTATGATCGAAAGACAAAGCTTACTTTGGCATAAAGTAAATGCTAACCGAAACGATGTCCTTCTGTCTTTCCTGTTCCAATCTAATTGTAGTATGTACATAGCGTTTGAATAAGTGTACTTCGCTGTTGTAAAAAAGTAGGAAGTCATTAACAGGATTTTAGTATGAAAATCCGCACCTATCACCTACCTAAGTCTTAACCCCTGTTCCCTCTTCTTAGCGCTACGTATACTAGCAAGACGTAGGCCTCGGGTAGCAAAATAGTTTGCGAACGCATGGTCGGTAACGGATTGTGATGAGGGGAAATGCACAAGTTGAGATTCTTGTCACGATTGTGTCTCCGACCCCATAAGTACATATACTCATATCAGCTACCCGTTGCAACTTTATGTAACTATCCGAAAAGAAGCATTCCAATGGAATAAGGTTTTTTTTTTTGTTTTTTGTTTTTTTTTGCTACGATTGCCAATAGCAACATCCATCACCCAGCGTCGTACCTTGTTCGACTGCCAACCCACGATGCTGCGTAGAGCAGTAAGTGACGTCTCATAAGTTTTTAAAACTCTTCTTCTTTCGGTACTGACGTTCTCAGATGGCAGGTGTCCCTTGGGTCCGCTCGCTCGGCCGCGCGAGCGGTCGTCTGTCTAGTCGATGCCTCTACATTCAACATAGCGCCCGCTTGCGATGCCATCAGCACTACCCTTGTCGGCCGTTCATCACTACAGCCGCAGCTCGAGCAGGGCTTTCGTCGAACGAACCATTGAGGAGTCCCACGATTAAAGATAGCCCTCGCGATAGCAAGATACCGCAAACTCTCACCGAGAAGATCGTGCAACGCCATGCTGTCGGTCTGCCAGAAGGCAAGCTCGTTCGCTGCGGAGACTACGTACAAATACGGCCTCATAGATGTCTCAGTCACGACAACACATGGCCAATTGCCCAGAAGTTCATGTCAGAAACCCCCGAACCGTTTGCATTCAGGCTTTTCAGGCATGGAAATGCGGTCCAGAGCATTTGATTGACCAAAACAGGTCGATGAACGCCACACGAATCGAGGACAAGACCCAGCCTGTCTTCGCGCTTGACCATCAAGTTCAATTGAAGAGCGAAGCTAATCTCCGCAAATACGAGTTAATCGAGGCGTTTGCCAGGAAGCACGGTATAGCTTTTTTCCCTGCGGGCTATGCGATTGGCCATCAAGTCATGGCAAGTGTCCTTGTTGACTTCATACATAGACTACGCTGACCTCCCTAGATCGAAGAGCTCTTTGTGTGGCCCGGTACGTTGTGCGTTGGCTCGGATAGCCACAGCAACATGTATGGAGCCATAGGATCCCTCGGGATAGCCGTCGTGAGATCAGATGGAGCTTCAATCTGGGCAACGGGCAAGAGTTGGTTTCAAGTTCCTCCTGTCGTACAGGTTACACTCACAGGGACATTACCACCTGGAGTGACTGGAAAGGACGTTATCCTAGCGCTTTGCGGGCTCTTCCCTACAGATGTATTGAACCATAGCGTTGAGTTCGTTGGCTCGGAGGATACTATGGCTAGCCTCTCTATCGACGATCGACTTACTATTAGTAACATGTCGACCGAGTGGTCTGCAACTTCTGCAATGGTACGTTTATTTATAATGATATTCCTCCCTCCTCAACCCTTGTGTCTAATGCTGTGTGTGCACTATAGTTCCCAATTGACCAGACTCTGGAACGCTGGCTACGAAATAAGGCTACAGAAGCAGAATCATACACAGATCGGACAACTCGGGAGAGGATTACACACGACAAGATCGATCAGCTCTATGCCAACCCTACAGATTTCCAAGCCGATGCTGGCGCACAATATGCCAAAAAGCTACACCTCAACCTCTCCACGCTTTCGCCTCAAATCACAGGTCCCAACTCCGTGAAGATAACGACCCCGCTGAGCGAGCTTGCCCCGAAAAACATCAAAGTGGACAAGGCTTATGTTGTGAGCTGTACTAACTCACGCAGCTCAGACTTGAAGGCTGCAGCCAAAGTCTTTCAGGATGCTGCTAAAGCCAGCAGCAATGGGGAGATCCCTAAAATCGCGGACCACGTTCAGCTCTACATTGCAGCAGCTTCAATTCACGAACAGAAGGTCGCGGAGAAGGAGGGTAGCTGGCAAACGTTACTCGATGCTGGCGCGATTCCTCTTCCTGCCGCCTGCGGGCCTTGCATTGGGCTTGGGCGAGGCTTGTTGGAGGACGGCGAAGTCGGCATTTCCGCCTCTAACCGCAACTTCAAGGGCCGGATGGGCTCCAGACGTTAGTTCCTCCACTATGCTCGGAAATATGTGCAGTGGATTGGCTGACAGTGTCAACAGTAGCTCATGCCTACCTTGCTAGTCCTGAGGTGGTCGCTGCTAGTGCTCTTGCTGGCAAGATAACAGGTACTGGCATACACAAGACCTCTGAGAACTACAACGGCATCGAATACGGTTATGGTACCGGTTTACCGGCATCCCCTCTGAGCGAGCTCGATTGCGCTGTCGAACAGCTGGATTCTCTAATCGATCGGTTGGAGTCCTCCCTCCAGGGCGACGACACCGCAAAGGAAACAACTCAGATACTTCCAGGCTTTCCTCAGGAAATTAGTGGCGAGATTCTATTCTGTGACGCTGACAACCTCGATGTAAGAGCCTCTCTAATTCACTTCACTTCCGAGGCATTTTGTTCTAACACTGCTATTTGCCAGACCGACAACATTTATGCAGCAAAATGGACATATCAGGATGATATAACAGAAGAGGGCATGGCAGAGGTCTGCATGTCAAACTACGACCCAGATTTCGGCTCAGCCGCAAAGCCTAATGACATCCTCGTCTCTGGACACAATTTCGGCTGCGGTTCGTCAAGAGAGCAAGCAGCAACAGCTATCCTTGCCAAAAAGATCCCGCTTGTGGTAGCTGGAAGCTTCTCTAGCATTTTTGCTCGTAATAGCATCAACAATGCGCTTTTGGGGTTGGAGGTACCGCGACTTGTTGAGCGTCTTCGTACTGCTTTCCCCGAGAAGGTGCCGACGCGGCGGACAGGCTGGACCTTGACATGGGACATCTCGCGGAGCACTATAAAAGTGCAAGAGGGCGAGAATGGAGAGTCCTGGGAGGAAAAGGTTGGCCTATTCCCCGAGAATCTACAAGAGATCATCGTCAAGGGGGGCCTGACAGGATGGGTTAAGCACGAAATTGCAAAGACTGCTGTATTATAGAGTAAAAGTGAGAATACATCTTCGAATCAATACTGGTCGGATTTCTTTGTAAATGAAAGTGGAAATAACCTCAATTTTCAATAAACCAGGCTTCTATTGTCATAACCTTCCTCTTCTTCACAAGGCTGTGTAAGCCATTAGCAACTGCTATTACTTATTACTGCAACAAGGACGACAATAACAATTGCTACTACTACTACTACTACTACTACTACTACTACTACTACTACTACTACTACCACCACTACTATTACTCTGAGGTATTGGCAAAGGCCGAGTATTGGCGTATCCAAGTGCTAGTAAGCACTGTCGCTACAGGCCATGATTTGCTCAGCCCACCCATTGCGGATATCTAATCCTTTGTGTCGCGTTCTCGTACCAATGATTTTGCTTGTATGGCAAAGACACTCCGAACGGTTCCGAATCTTGCATGGAAAGCGGCAACAAGACCTGTGTAGGATCTGGCCAGTCCCTGAGAAATTGTTCTTCCTCGACGGACCAGTGTACCCGGATCTTCTCAGGGATGCCTCCGATTGCCTTCATCTTAATCAACATGCTTTTGACTGCACGTGCCGATCGACCAGTTCCAAACATCTTCCAGAACTCGCCACATATTACCGACCATTCAAGACCGCGATTAAACAAACCAAACAAAAACTCCAACTGATCTTGATTCCACACGTCACCCTTTTCATCGCCAACAAGACGTTTGACCCCGCACCTCCCCTTGAATGCTTTGCGGGAATGCTCAATACCAAACTTCTCTCGGCAAAGCTTAAGGTACTCTTTCAGATGCGTTTGATTTCCCGGAGAACCCTCAAGTATTCATCCTCTTCATCTGTCCACGGGCGCGAAGTTGCAACGACTTTGGACATGTTTAACTTGCGCTCGTAAGCAAAGGCTCGGTAAGCTGATCGCGACCGATTCTTCGCAAATTTTGCCTCCATTGCTTTCGCAATATCCACCCAGGTCGTATCTGCTTGCAGAAGCATCTCCAAATGGTCTCGCTCCTCAGGATCCCACTTCGTAAAGCTTCTCATCGCTGGTTGGCCTTTCCTTAAATGACGCATTCGCCCAGCCAATGACTCTGTGGTACGGTAGGGCCGAATCGTGCTTGAAATTTCTCGATTTTGGTCTTGTATGCGAGATCCGGGTTCATAACATATCCAAGGTAGTTATCTTCTTTAGGATCCCATCTCCTCAGAGGTTTGGTTAAGTTGCACCGTAGAGATCAGAACGGTGGTGACGAGGGGGCGAAGAGAGGGACGAAGAGAGAGACCCTGATGAGTCTAAGGGCTGTAGGACGGTCAGTGGCAAGCTGGTTGTTTCGGCAACGTCGCTACCTTCGTAAGAAACTGCTACTTCTCCGCCGAGAGGTGTCCCATCTTGATGTTGATGGTATGGTTGGTACACTGACTCTTCCCAGAGATTCGAGATCAAGGTGCCATAAGCATCACGAAATCCTTTGATGCCAATTCCGTACATGCGACTTTGAATACTGGTCTCTACGCTCTCTAACGCACCCTTCACACTTAATAATTCCTGAGCCCATTTTGGGCATAGATCCGGGTTCAGTAAACTAGCAGTGGAATGCTTGCCTTGATAGCTGTATGGGTGCATTTGGAAATGTAGCGCGTTATCCGCCAAGGCTTCTCGCAGAATATCGCTGGCAGTGTGGGCATCTTGAGGGAGATATCCAGTTCTGATGAACTCCAATACCCACCCAACCCGCTGTTGTAAACGGTGCTGGTCAGGTATTTTCCACGATTTGTCTAAACCGCCAATAAAGAGGGTTTCCCAAAATGCCGTATCCGTAGCGACGTCAAAGTCAGTGTCGAATATTTTCTCATGATAGTTTCGCATAATGTGAATCAAAACACGTAAAGTGGACCCACGATGCTGTGCGAGTTCGCATGGCCTTCGCCAGAAACGTCCCAGCCTCAAGACCCGAAGGGCTTCATTGGTTGTGCGAGCCCCCACACACATGAGGGCGAGGAATTCGTTCGATGGGGTAAAGGCTTCATATCGACCTGCTTCAGACCACCACTCGAATGGCTCTTCTAGGACTGCCTTAGAGCCACTTGTGTCTTGTACCAAAGTCTCGTGTAGAATCTGATTTTATTGGTCTTCTGAAAAGCTGAGGGAGAATGGCTGCGGCACGATGGGCTTGTCTTTCAGCCCGTCCAGAGACGGATCGTACTTCCAGCGCTGTAGAGGCTCAGAAAGAGATTGATCCAAGATCTTGTCCCAAAGCCTGGATAAGCTTTCTTTCAGCCGGACTAGACCGCCGATGAGAACACGGTCGCGCGGCACCCTATCCGCCAACATTTGGGAGTTAACCCGATGCCATAGTTGAACTAAGTCTTGCCAGATTATTATATTACCGGTTGGTGGCTTCGTGGGGATGGGTGAGCCGAAACCAATGCCCTTTTCCGCCAAAATCTGCCGCATAAATTATACGATGAGTACTACAATCCGGCGACGCAGGTGCTCAGATTGAAATGGTGTTTTAATTAACCAGCTGTCTGGTGGTGATTCTTTTATTGTAAGTATAGAACGTTCCAAGGTTTTTGGTAAGGTGTTACCTGTGATTCTTTCCCAGACATCTCTATGGAGCAGTCTTGGCAGATGCCGGGGGAAGAATTCTCCCATAAAGATCCGGTGGTGGTGTGTCGGGTATCCTGAATGTTCGAGGAGTTCGCGAATATGGCAGGAGGTTTTCAACCCATCCTCCAGAGCTGGAATGTGGTAGAATAAATCGTTGTCATGTCTAGAGCCGAGGATAAGACCGTTCTGGTGTAAATGCTGTTTGAAGCGGTGAATCTGGTCCCAGACGAGTCTCCATCTACTGCTTGTGTAGGAAATGAACACAGACTCGGCATTGTGGCGTAGTTGTGTGTACATTGACTTTACTTCGACTTCCGTTTTTTGAACCCCTCGAAGACGCAACTAGGCCACCAAGAAATCCCAACTAATCCTTCCCATAGACTCAGAATGGGCGTAAATATCTTTTTCATGTTGCGCAACGAGACTGATCAGTGATACAACTTCTTAAGAAGTCCAGCAAGTACTCATAATCGAATGAGAGTGTATCCTGGTGAGCTGTTTAGTTGGCAAAGCTCGATTCAATCCTTCGTAAGCTCCTGATGGCAGCCATGACGGGCTCTCAAACACTACATATTGAGATGCAGCAAAAGGGTTGGAACTTCCAGCTTTTGGCATACTGAGGGAGTCTATCAGAACGACGTCGATGAGTTCGATGAGTGTAAGCAGGCATGCAAAATGCCGGCAGGCTTGCTTTATCTCTGCTGTGGGGAACGGTAAGACAGTACCACGAACTCGACTTTATCGATTTTGGTGTCCGCTAGTCGATAATGGGCATGGAAAGTCCCTCTTTCACAACCAATTATGGCTTTTGATATACTGTTCCAGTGTCGGCATGATCGACGGCGTAAGCCGATACTTTCGCTCCCAAAAGTAACGTTCGCCGACTGTCCCACATATACGAGATCCGGTGATTCATCATTTGTGCTGATCCCATGGAGGAGGTACGTGCCAATGACGTTAGGAATGCCATTCCCAACTTCTGTGAGTGGAATTGATTCGAGAACGTCGAAGATGAGTCGTTGGTCACGTTGGCCTAATGCAGCCTGGCAACGATAAGATCTGACGTACGGGTTCAGAAGAAACTCAAGTAGCGCATTCCGAGTCTTCTTGTTGATTTGTTTGACACCAATGTAGCATAGCAGCGCTAAAAGGGGAACCCGTTATGTTTTCATTGGAGACAGTGAGTGCCATGTCGAAGATGTCGTCGAAAATTGACATATAGCGTCTGTCATGCTCCTCAATCCTTTGGACAAGGTTTTGAGGAACTACCAAGGCACGAGTTAGTGTTTCCCGCCAGCTGTAAAATAGGATGGTGATTTTTTCCAACACCACTACTTCCAAAGTTGACTTACGTAAATCCATTTCAGGTCTAGGTCCGCAAACCCTATCGACCTCATCGATCAGGGTGTCGATGTCTGTGCGTTCAAGTTTCATATTAGGCGATGATATAGTTGAGTCTTCTTGGCCGTGATCAGCTTCTCCATCATACGCATCCAGGAAGCCATCTTCTGAAGCAGGACGAGTGCTCTCAGCCTGGAACTCTTCGTCCATTACCAGATCTTTGACAAATTCATGCAGCTCATCGGACGAGTCTGCTAGCTGCGGCCGGGGGCGCACTTCACGCTTACGCTTCTTTACGACTTCCGTGGTCACGTTCAGCTTGTGCCGCTCGTCAATAGCTGTGAGTTGAAAATCGCTAGACGACGAACCCCAGGGTCGCAAATGTCTTGCCTTAGCCGTTGAACGAGTAAGCAAAGGTGAAAGAGGGGAACGAGTCAACACGGCGAACTAACGCCAACAAAGAAAGATAAGGAGAGGAGAATATCAAATTAGGCGCAGGCGTAAGGGAAGATAGAACAGTACCTTTGCACAGGCCTCAAGCAACAAGGGTTACAATTCCTAGCATTAAGGGGCAAGCTGACTTTAATTTATAAGATTAAGGAGACAGGTAGCCCAGGAGTGCAGTTATTGCAACCGTAACCTGCCACAATCACCACAGCTAACACTGCTGTTACCGTCACAAGCACATCTAAATTGCCGCCACTATTTGCTTTAGAGGGCACGCCCAGCCAAATCAATTGAAACTGATGCTGACGGCAATCTGGCAATGCACTGCAAGCTGTGAACATGGCAACCCTATTGCTGCCTAAGAATACGCGCGGTAGGGAACACAATAAGCACTTGACTGTCATTATGTTGCCTTAAACAACGCGACTGACCGACTGGCTTTGCGACTGTAAGCTAAGCAATTACTAGGCGGCCGACGAATTAGTTGATCTGGGTCTTAAGACGGACTTTGTTAGATTATCAGTACTATGAAATAAATTATAAGTCTGTTCTATTTCCTATACAGATTTGTCAGAAGACACAGTCTCCCATGGATGAGACTGCCCTCACTGGCTTATCTATGGGAGAGCGGACGGGATCCCGAGTTTTCCAGTGGATATGGTCGTATGTGCTTATTATTACCTGAGTCTAACTTTGGGATTTGCGCATTGGAGCACTACCGGGAGTGACAAATGGAGTAATACTAAACTGCGGTTTGCGTTGCTAGTGCCCAGAAGGGATATTTGCTACCATCGTACTGCCGTAGGTACCGAAGATTAGGTACCGCCAGTTTAGAGTTTAGGTGAGCGGTGTCCTCCGCTAGCGATCCAGTGCCTTGTGCAGGACAACTTCAACTGCGACTGTCCATTCCCTATCACACAATCTGCCAACGGTTGCACTTTTTCCTACACAACCGTAGACATGGCTTCTGGTCTTCCTATCGCCACGTACGTGTCATTGCACTCCGACACGTAGGGCTATTGGCTGATCTCTTGTGCAACAGAGTATACGTACGAAACCTCGAGGAACGTGCAAAAGTCGACCAGCTGAAAGATGCGCTGCTTCAGATATTCTCTGAGTACGGCAACGTTATCGACATCGTCGCCAAGACGAATTTGAAGGCCAAGGGCCAGGCCTTTGTTGTCTTTGATGACCCCGAGGCCGCGCGTAAAGCCATCGAGGAGGTACAGGGTTTTGAACTGTTTGAGAAGCCTATGCAGCTCTCCCTCGCCCGCACTAGAAGTGATGCGACCGTCAAGGCGAGTGGCAATGATGAAGAGTTTGAGCTTCACAAACGCCGTCGTCTAGCCGAAAAAGGTACAGGCTACTCTACTGATACCCTTCTATTGTCCTGCGCGCGTTCATCTCCCTCTGCGGATAAAAATACCACTTCTACTGACTTTCTTACGCTTCTTTACCAGACAAGAAAAAGGCCTACGAGGCCGCCGAAGAGCAGAAGCGTCTCAAGAGACCCGGTCCAGGCGCTGCTACCACATCCGACAACCGTCCTACCAAGGCCGCTCGCGGTGCCGGCCTCAAGTCCACGAACCCCTCTACAACAGCTGTCATTCCCGACGAGTACCTCCCCCCGAACAAAATCCTCTTTGTGCAGAACTTGCCAGAAGATTACGACATTGATGCTGTTACAAGCATATTTGGTCGTTTTGAAGGTTTCCGTGAAGTCAGATTGGTACCAGGTCGCCGGGGCATTGCGTTCGTCGAGTACGACGGCGAACAAGGGGCCATCACGGCAAAGGAGAACACTGCAGGCATGGTTCTTGGAGACACGTACACTATCAAGGTCACATACCAGCGGCAATAGGTCACCCGCTTTCAGATTGAGGGAGGGCTTCTCTGTTGCGTCGGCGTGTAGGTTAAGAAGGAGGTATGAATGCTTCCAAGACAAAGGCGCACCCAGACCAGCTACCCTAATTATCAAAACATGCATCGCGGCCTCTTTTCTGTACTGGACCGCATATTATGGGGTGCTCAGAAAATAACATCGTTGTCCTCTCCTGCCGCAAGAAGGTCATTTGGCCCAGACGAGTCACCCCTCTCCTCTGTCGCATTGGCGGCCTTTTTGGCCGTAATCTCAGCGTCTGCGGCTGCCGTATCCCTCTGTTTCTTGTTCGCTACCTGCGATCGGCCGTCAGAAATTGAGCTACCAATGTTAAGTGATCATCAATACCTTTTTCAATCTGTAAAACTCTTCTCGGTCCACCTCGTCAAGTTCTGAGTTGATATCTATCGCCGAGGGTTAGATAGGCCATAATAGCATGCAAGTGACCCTCTCAAAATGACATACACTTGATGGTGTTCTCTGTTCTCGGAATGATTACATGCTCGCTTGGGAACGGTCAGTGAATTATTAGTCGGTAAACATCCAAGCATTGCTTACATTGCATTAACTGCAGAACGTCAGTACGAAACCTCAGGGCATGTATCTACTGCTAAACTTACCACGTCGGTTGACGACCTTGATAACTTCGTCCAAGATTACAAAGGCAGTCTTGATAGTATTAGGGTACTCGATCTTCCACAGAGGTAATCTTGATGATTGCGTACCTGGAGACTCGCCAGTTCAACCAGTGCCTCAACGGCACGGGCATATGTTTCGCGGCAGCGCTGGACCTGCTGGCCACCCTTGCCCAGTCCCGTCAGGCCAAAGTCGTTGTTCCCTTCGGTCACGTAACTCTCAAAGGCGGGAAGCAGAACACCCGAAACATTTTCCTGCTTGGTACGCACGCGGAAACGGGCTGACCGCGCGGACTCCTGGATCTGGTAGCCGATATCACCACCCACGGCATACGTAACTTCGGCCAAGGAGAAGGAGGCGATTTGCATTACACGTCCCATCTTTCTCTTGGCCTCGTCGATTCGTCTCGTAATCTCTGCCGAGGTGCAATACCATCCGTTAGTATAAGCCATCGCGGCAAGATCTGGGCTTCGAACCTCGGAATCGTCTGCAGCGCATAACGTGTTAGCGAATCTTTTCTTATAAGAACGGTACTGAGCCTCTCGAGACGTACTTGGTCAAAGCCTCGCTCTTTCTCTTGAGCAGACTGTGACCCGTCTCAGCTCCCTTGAGCTTTGCCTTCATGATTCCCAGCGACTGGCGCGTAGGAAACACAGCCTCTCGATCCTAGATAAATGTGTGACGTCTCAGACAACGATCTCGTTGATTTTGGCTAATTGAAGAGGAGCCTGGCTTACAGGAGCGCCCGACATAGTGGTTGATAGGGATTGTAAGGTAAATTGTACTTGTAGTTGACGGGGTGATATCAAAGAAAAGGTGCGTTCGCTCAGCGACGATTTGTACGGCACTGGTTGACAGGAGGAGGTGGACGCAGCGCGGCCGTTCAATGGAGTCGGCGAGTATCTGGAGACGTTAGGCAAATGGGCGGCGTTGCGTCAGTGCTTCAAGCATACTAGACAAGGCTCCCGTCGCTAAGTGCCTACCTTCAGGTAGGTATCTAGTGGAGTTCCCCTCGGGTACCGGAGTAAAGGCACTTTAGCTGATGCTTTAGCATTCTAGGTAGCATGTGAGTACCTATCTCGGCTCAGAAGCGGGGCATGCCCAGCGTGTCCAGGGGCAAGTACCAAGCCCGTAGCTCTGTATGTCCAATGCCTGAGAGTCCCGATAAGAACGTACCCTGCTTAGAGGCTCTTCCACCTAAAGTGGGTCGTGAAAGAAAAACGTCCCTGGGCTGCTTTGGGCCTGGCGCGAAGGACAACACGGCATTAGGCGCTGGCATCGTGAAGGAAACGATTGTCTCCAGGACGCGCCATGATTTATCTTTGAACCGCGTCGCTCGTCTTTTCAGCAACCTACTGTCTCAACTAGCGCATCAATGCTTAAGGTGTCCAGCACTTGAGCTGTCACGATTGTCTTTCTCATGGCTTTTGGGCCATTCGACTGAATCAAATATGCCTGCCTCTGTGCTTCTCCACGGCTCTCAGAGGCGTCCAGATCTACACCTGGTTGTAAGTAAATTCCTGGTTTCTCCTGCGTAGCGGCTTTTAATTTATGTTTCTGCTGTCATTGATAATGAATCTGACAAAGTGTGCTAGGGCGACGAAGACTCTGTGTACGAGCAAGACATCCTCCGCAACCCCGGAAGCATCAAGCCATGGCTCGCCTACATACATTTCAAGTCCCAGCATGGGACCGTACACGAGCGCGCGTTTGTTCTTGAGCGTGCCTGTCTTCAGCTTCCACGATCGTATAAGCTTTGGAAGATGGTATATAAACATGATTGCATACTAACTTGGGCAATGGCTGACAGTCTAACAGTATCTTACTTTTCGCGTTAACCACATTTCAAAGCTGAACGCTGCTACTTTCTCGGCCGAATATCGAAAGGTCAACGCCATGTTTGAGCGCGCGCTGACTCTCCTGAACAAGATGCCTCGGATCTGGGAACTTTATCTCAAGTTTCTGCTCCAGCAACCGTTTGTTACGACCACACGACGAACTTTCGATCGAGCCCTTCGTGCACTACCACTCACCCAGCACAACCGAATCTGGGCCCTCTACAAACCCTTCGTCAATTCCGTTGCAGGAATTAGCGCCGTCAAGGTTTGGCGCCGCTACATGCAAGTCCATCCCGAGGACGCCGAGGATTTTATAGAGCTTCTCACGCAGGTGGGTTTCTTCACGGAGGCCATCAAAAAGTATATGGACATCCTCGACAACCCGCGGTTTACGAGCAAGCATGGAAAGGGGCATTACGAGCTGTGGAGTGAGATGGTTGACTTGATGGTCGAGCATGCAGCCGAGATTGAAACTGGCCACGAAACTGGCATTGACGTCGACAAGATCGTTAGGAGCGGTATTGTCCGATTTGCCGATCAAAGAGGCAAGCTATGGTGCGGACTGGCTACATATTGGATACGGAGAGGCAGCTTCGAGCGCGCAAGAGACGTGTTTGAAGAAGCAATCACAACGGTGATGACGGTCAGAGACTTCACACTCGTTTTCGACTCATACACCGAGTTCGAGGAGTCTATTATTGGAGCTCTCATGGAGGTTGCTTCGGATCGTGCTGACAAGGGTATTACCGATGAGGAGGCGGATTTTGAACTCGACATACGAATGATGCGCTTCGAGCAGCTCATGGACAGAAGACCTTTCCTTCTCAATGATGTCGTCCTGCGCCAGAACCCAAATAACGTATCGGAATGGGAAAAGAGGGTAGCCCTATGGGGAGACAACAAGCTGGAAGTAGTTCAGACATACACGGCTGCTCTTGCGACAATACAGCCAAAGAAGGCCATTGGGGCATTCCACCAACTCTGGGCCAATTACGCCAAATTCTACGAGCGCGGGGGCGACCTACGAAATGCCCGCATCATCATGGAAAAAGCTGTTAAGGTGCCGTTCAAATCAGTCGCGGAACTGGCCGACATGTGGATTGAATGGGCCGAGATGGAGCTGAGGAACGAAAACTTTGACGATGCCGTTCGGATCATGGCCAAGGCGGTCCAGGCACCCAAGAGATCGGCAGTTGACTATTTTGACGAGACATTATCACCGCAGCAGCGCGTACACAAGAGTTGGAAGCTCTGGAGCTTTTATGTGGACCTTGTCGAGAGTGTCAGCTCCCTGGAGGACACACGGAAGGTTTACGAACGCATTTTCGAGCTGCGGATCGCGACGCCGCAAACGGTGGTCAACTACGCTAATCTGTTAGAAGAGCACCAGTATTACGAGGAGTCGTTCAAAATCTACGAACGTGGTCTCGACCTCTTCAGCTATCCCGTCGCCTTTGAGCTATGGAACCTCTACCTGACAAAGGCTGTTGATCGCAAGATCGGCATCGAGCGCCTGCGCGACCTTTTTGAGCAGGCCATTGAGGACTGTCCACCTAAATTCGCCAAAGTTATATATCTCATGTACGGCAACCTAGAGGAGGAGCGTGGCCTAGCGAGACACGCGATGCGAATCTACGAACGTGCGACAAGAGCGGTGGCAGACGAGGACCGGGCAGATATGTTCAACTTCTACATCACCAAGTCGGCATCCAATTTTGGGCTGCCGTCGACGAGGCCCATCTACGAAAAGGCCATCTCCACTTTGCCCGACAACGAGGCACGAGACATGTGCCTAAAGTTTGCCGACATGGAGAAGCGTCTTGGCGAGATCGACCGGGCACGGGCTATTTACGGTCACGCATCACAGTTCTGCGACCCACGCACCAGCCCGGAATTTTGGGCAAAGTGGGAGTCGTTCGAGGTGCAGCACGGCAACGAGGACACTTTCAAGGAAATGCTGCGTATCAAGCGGAGCGTGCAGGCGCAGTACAACACCGACGTCAACTTCATCGCGTCGCAGGCCCTCGCCCGTAGCCAGCGACGGCCTGAAGAGTCGGGCGACCCGGAGGTGGCCGATGCCATGGCAGCACTCGAGCGACAGGCAAAGGCCCCCGTAGGATTCGTGGCTGCCAGCGACGCCGCCAAAACGACTAGCACAACTGAGACACTACCAGCTGCAGCAACAAACCCAGACGCTATCGACATCGATGACCTTGACGAATAAGGCGTAAAAGTTTCTTCTCGGCGCGATGGCGCATTGACTAGTTTAGGTACCATCATACAGACAGGACTTCAGAACCATTTCCGGTTCCCAACCCTTGCAATTCAGTTAATTCCTCGTTTTTCTTACTATCAGCCTCGCTGATACGGTGTGACACCCCTTCCCCCATGTACAGTCTGCTGGGCGCTCGCTCGACGGTTGTTGACCCCTACTTTTACAACGTGGGCCAGTCGGCTGTTCCCTCGGGTCCCTTCAAAGGCTGTTATATTACTTTGAAGGCGTCTTGGTGTAGCCCTTCTCGGTGTGTTTCTCGTGGAAGCTAGAGGCATAATTGCGGTCGACATGACCATCACGAGAACCAGGAGTGGCGTAGATGGAACCCTTGCGCTTCTGGAAGCGGCTCGGTGGCACTTTCGAGGCGTCTGAATAAGGGTTGCATGAGATTAGCATGCACCGGCGCGGATCCCAGCGGTAGGAAGCAGGCGGTCAAGACTCACCCCATTCGTCGGTGCTGGCCCGTCTATCTGCAGGCGACGAGGAAAGGGCGACAGCAGGCTCTCCGTCAAGGATGGCTAGCGAGGTGCCAACCTCAATAGACATATTCTCGGTTCTGGTCTGGTCGTCTGGGCTCAGGATGTAAGCAGACGGCTTGTGTAGCGGAGGGTGATGAAGGAGTGAAACAAACCGGACATGTTGAAGTCTGGTGTAGGGCGGTGGGAGTCTTTTGTGTTAGTTCAAGGCAAGCGTATCAACTTCTCGGCCGATGAGATAATGGTTGGCAAGGACGTAGGTTAAAAGTATCGTGAGTTGAGCTGTGTCGCGGATGGGGATAGGTTATGAGGTTGGGGGAGAGAATGTAAATGACAGGACGATTAGCGGAGAGAGGAGGGGAGATGGAGTTTATGAAGGTCCGGAACGATCAGTCAATCACCATACCCAGTTCCGGTAGCGTTTGGTGCGTGTCACTGGTGTCGCCGGAGGCAAAGCCAAAGTGAGGGAGGAGACACTAAGACCGAGGTACCAAGGTAGGCAAGATACGGCAGGAGGCCGCGGGTGCACACACCACCACACCACACCGCGACAAGGAGAGACCATCTACTTTTTTACTTAGTCTAGGACGGCGGGCAGGTCGGGCAGTCACCTGCCGCTTGCCATCTCCTTTCTCAGGCGAGTAAAGCACGAGTTTGAATAACACTGCGTTGCTGTCCCGTCACAATCGCGTTGATTTGATGAACGAAGCCGTCGATCACAGCTACTTCTTCTACGCTCTAAGCCAATTGAGGCAGGGGGGACGCCGGCGCACATCCTCTACATGCCTTGGATAGTGAGTGGCAGTAGCTACTTGAGGTGACTGACTGCTCTTCTGTGTTTACTGATGGGCTTCGGTTCAGGTCACTTTTGAGTTTGGATTCGCGAGGTGGGTGTAGTTTGGAGATGTTCTGCTTCGGCAATGAAGAAGCACAGCCATACTAATGGCTAAGGATGGTTTTGGATGCTGGGTAGGAAGAGCAGCAAGTAGGCGGGCAGAAGGAAGCCAAGGTTCCACGACTTGAAGTGTATCCTAACTAATCGCTGTCTTTGGTGGGCGGATTACGTAGCTTGTTATACTACCCCTCACATTGCCTATGAATAGGTATACGTTTCTGGGGTGGTGTGATGAGGGCTCGCTAGGATGGTTAACGTTCGATCGTGTAGGTCGATGTAATTGGGTAAGCGACTATTCGTTAGAGGTTTCTCATGGTACGTACTGCGTAGAGAAAGGCAGTTTGGGTAGGTGGTTGTTTACCTAAAGTGAAGAATTAAACAGGTGCTTGATGTTGATATTACTGTTGGAGAGCACAACACCTAGCTCTTCTAGTAGATGCTGTGAACGTCATTGACGTCACACACACACGGCGTGGTCAGCGAATGGATAGGTGGGAGGCAACGGTAATCCCCCAAGCTCTGGTGAGACTTGCTCCAGTGGTCTAGAGTGCCTCTTGCTTCTGGTTCATTTATTCACGTCGTGTTCCATTTTGTCCACACACACACACACACACACACACACACACACACATGCCTCCTTCTAGCCTCCATAATCACACCCGCATCCAGACAAAATCCATTTATCGATCCTCCCCAATACGTATTTGTTATTGTTTGCAATACAAGCAGACCTACACACGCATAACTGTGTCCACATGCGCACCCACAGTACACACCTCGTCTCAGTCAAAAGGTTGCACGTGGTAAGGCACCCAAGCCATCTAAACTTGACTTAGTTATACTGTGTTCTTACCAAAAGGGCTAACTTAGGATGAACAGTTCTGCTGCCATTTAAAACAGTGGGCAATGGCAATGAGGTCTGAACTGCGACATGTGTTCATCCTTAAAAGAAGGTTATGGTTATTGACGCCGGTCTTGACCGGTTTATGTTTTTGGTGTTGGTCTTGTTAAGTCCGGCCGCCACCAAAGCACAGACAGCTTTGGTGTTGGTCTGTTAATTGCCTAGGTACTTAGCTATGTCGTTTGCTCCTGATGCAACTTACTTCTCAAACCTACTTCCCTTTTTTTTGCCTTTTGCCTTCGGTCCCGTCCCCCCCTTTCAGTCCGATGCCATCACGCCACAACTCATATTATCGTCTTGTTTTATCTCATCCCAAAGTAATTTGTCCTGACACCCCAGTTTAGGTTGAATATAATACCCCAAGGCGGATAGTTTGCAAGGCATTTTGAACTTGCAAACGAAACAGTCCTGCAGTCATGCAAACCGTGTGACAGTAACCATACCCCGACGACCTCGCAGCCCCCATTGCCATACCTGCCTCGCCTATCTCTTCAAGCGAGAGAATGTCGTGAGCCTAGGTTGGGAAATCGTCTCTGAGGCTCTCTCTTCCAGCAGAATATATTAATCAATATTCCGTGAACGAGAAGAGACCGTCAAATGCAGCGCATACGACATGATCAGCCACCTGACCAATAGAAATCGAATGTGGCAAAGTCACTTGCAAGGTGGAGAGAAAACAACAATTTGCCAGTAAGCAGTCAGAGATTGGAATTATGTACTATCAGCGACTAGACACAGTCGGAGCCCTCTCCAGATACACGGGCATTAGCATCAGCATCAAGTCAGCAGCCTTGTTTATCGTCACCCATCCTTTCCGTCCTCGTGGATCCCTCTCTCAACCCTCGGTGACAGCCCCAAAATTCCAACCTGTCTACCTGTCTAGATCTCCTCGCCGTCAGCGCGGAGCTCAGCCAGGTAATCGGGGTCGTCCTCGGGGGCGGCAGAGGGTGTCTGGGCACGCTTGATCATCTTCTTAAGGAGATCGTCGGAGCGCTTGATGGCAAGCATCAGATTCCGGCGAGCGGCAGCGGGCGTGGTGCTGTTAGCCAACTGAACGGGAACGACACCGCCGAATGGTCCGGCACGAGCGCCGTTCTGGCAGCGAACCAGACAAACATTGGGCTGGCCGGCAACGGTACCAGTGCAAGTCTGGCCGGCAGGAATAGCGGCCTTGAGAGGGAAGTCCGTCTTGGCACCGTCACGGTTGCGAGAGTTCTCACCCGGAGGGGTGGTGATGACGTTGATGTTGGTCCAGTCGGCACCAGTGCCGTCGGCGTTGATCATGCAGTCGTAGGGGCCTGCGATATCTCATGTTAGTCCCGTGCTGGGCCGAGCACCTGGGCGCGAATGAGTTTGTTCACTTACCAGCACCATCACCGTTGACCTGGTGCAGAGTCATGTCGACGGAGCCGCCAGCGGTGATTTGAGGGAGCACGTCGCCGGTCTCGGCCATCAAGGCCTTCGTGCCGGCCTCGAGATCGTTGGTGCCACCGCCTATGGTCTCGCCGAATGTGTCGGCTGCCTCGCCCTTGAAGCGGGTGCTGTCCGCCTGGAAGGGGTTGCGGCGTGTTCCATCGCGGGGAGTGCTGGTGTCGATGCCGAGGGCCATGCCCTTTCCACCAGCATTACCAGTGGCGGAGATGATGGCAGCGTGGCCAGCAACAATGTCGGCGGTGGCCAGGAGGCCGATGACGAAAACACTCTTGATGGAAGAAGACATTTTGATATGGGAGAAGGTAAATCCTGGCCGGCAGGGATAATTTATACAATAAAACGTTAGGAGAAAAAAATGGCCGGATGACTCGAGGACTGCTGGATGCTGAATGCTGGATGATGACGAGGAAAGAAAAAGAAGGTTAGGACGGGAGGTTGAACCTGTCTTTATAGGAAGATGAGGGTCCAAGAGTATGAGCGATGTCGAAATATCTGATGTCGGGACGACCGTAACACGCCTCCGTCTCTCACCCTACTCCGACTCCCACGTTTTCGTAACGTGCTTCAATCCATTGCCTACTGTCCTCTGTTACTCTGACGAGGCTGGACAAAGATCTACCCAGCATCCAAAACCGCCAAGCCAAATATGTTTCCCTGGAGGTGGCCTTGATGCGACATTCATTGGGGGTGGCTCGAATCCAGACAGGCTACCTCTTCTCTCTTCTCCCTCTCCCTCTCTCTCTAGCACAGACATGTCGACGACAACTACGACGAAGAGTGCAATATGGCTGGTCTGTGGCGAGGTCAGGGAACAGAGCCTCAAGCAAACCTCAAGCCGGGGGGGGTGTGTGCAACATGAGGCGATGATGAACAGGGACAGGCATCAAAGTTTCGGAGTTGGTGTGACCGAATGTCGGCCGGAAGGCCCAAGCTCAGGGCCCGAAATCAGGACGGCCTTGATCTAACCCACCCATGATGCAGCAGGGATCCCAAAGGGGCAAAGAACAAGCACTTACACGCCTATGCCGCTCAGGCCCGTATTTTATGTGGCCTTTGAGCTTCTCCCTCCCGAGTTTCCTTAAAACGAGTATCGAAGATGGCGCCGAACACGCAAGCCGTATCGTCGAAGTCCAAGAATGATCCACCAGACAAGGCTAGGTAGATGATGGGACTGCCAGTTGTTGGCACCATTTCTTGCAGGATGCTGCTGGCTTGCGCGGTTCACATACACTAACACGCGCACGTAACCTAAACAGGGGAAGACGATATAGGTCCGTGTCTGTTCTTATCGGTTACCCACCAGCATGGTTACAATGACAGCCTCGTTGCCCGGCAAGCTGAATAAGATCAAGGTTAGGTGAAGGGCCTACGTAGGACACAGTGCCACAGAAACTAGCTATGCCCAACTATGTTTGGACCTACGGCGGGAGCACCCAAAACGGATCTGGAGCATTGGGTACAATAGGTCGCGGCAAGTGATGCAGAAACAAGCCACCAAGGAAAAGGTGATGGCCCAATCGAATCCCGTGCTGCATTCAACGGCAAATACACGTGCGCATATGATCTGCTGTCGCAAGGCGAGTAACCCCAGACGAAGAGAAGGTAACGTTCCAAGAGTGCTTTAGCCTTACTATGACGCGAGAGCGAGGGACAAACGGCTGTAGACGGAGCAGATTGCTGCAGCTAGCAATACTAGAAAGCACGCACGGATGGCGCAGTCAAATCAAGGTCTGTGGTCATACGCGTCGCGCAGAGACAGCATAGAATAGGGTTGACGGCGTTGGGAATGGCAAACCATGATACCAACGACAGAACAAGCGCCGGGTAACAGCGGTAAGTCGGCTGTGCTCTGCAATGATGAGTGCTTCTTGCACGGCGGTTCGACCCATTTGGGTCAGCACAAGGAAGACGACGACCAGCCACTCGCAAACCGAGTGAGGCGACAAGGACAGGAAATTGGAGCAGGGGCGGCGGCCAATGGAGACGGCGAGAGCAATGCGGCTGTGGTGATGCTGCCCCTGCCTGTCTGTCTACCCTGCCTCAGAGCCCCTGAGCCTTGCCTGTTTGCGTGTTTTTAAGTTAAGGCCACCAGCGATAGCGTTGTCAATATTCGCCTAGAGCCCACAATAAGAGCTGCAATTGTTGCTCACAGCAAATAGCGGACTGTGAAACAGAAAGATCCGAACGGCTAGTGGAGATACCGGACGCCGTTGGAGCGTGCGCATGTACGCCGGGAACCATGATCAACATGATTGACCGCCGTATGCAAGGCCCCCATGATGGAGACAGGAGAGCAAAGGGGGAGGGGACAGGGCCCTGGGTCGGGGCCCCCGTAACGCATCATTGACAAGCATTGAAATGCATGCATGTGCTCCCGGGGAAAGGGCTTGGAAGTTGCAGTATGAACTACCTAAAGTAATTGCTCTGTCACTAGGTATTAGAGAATGGTGGCAAGGGGTGGGCCGCCCTCCGAAGCACACATCAGCAGGCAGAGAGGTTCTTTGGGCCATGTTGAACTCCTACTATTCCTCTCGGGACAAAGTAATCGGAAGGTCTGGAAGCAAGGCACAAACAGTCACGACAAGCCTCAATGAGACAGGCGTCGTTTGGAACAGACTGCAAAGGGCTGCGCACTGGCCATGAGTGAAACCGAGCAGTTGATGTCCATAACTGCAGAGCCAATCGCAAGTGTATCCGGCCAGCGTCAGTTGGGTAGTTTCTGCAAGACCAGAGGCAGCCATGCAGCACATCATAATCGGCCATAGCCGACTATAGATTCGCAACGAACGGGGAATAAAGAAGTCAGACCTGGCTGTGCTGTGTGGGGGAGGCTGACGATCAAACAGAACAATCTCAAACATAGACTCGAATGTGAGAAAAAAGGACTGTGTTTCAACGCAAGCTTCCCAGCGACTCTAATTTAGGCCTATAGAATGGATGACATGATGACATGCGACGTCAAACCCTCATCAGGAGCCCACCTAGGTACCGGTAAGGCCTCCCTTCAGCTAAGGTACGGGGAAGCTACAAGCTGTCAGCACGTGCTAGCGCGGTAGACCCGTGCACATTACAGCAAGGCGAGTGAGTATCTGTGTACCTTGCAGCTAAGTGCTATGCCTGAGGGTGACAAAAGAAAACACAAAAACTGGTACACTTTAATTGACGCAAGAATGCTACTATCGCAAACAGCGCACAACATCAAATCAACTAATATACCATACACATCCATTAAATTTGATGGAAGACTGTTCTTTCTGCCACCAAGTACTTTTTCCCTTATGTCAATTACGTCTTTGGTAGTCTAATTGGGGTGAAATCAATCCACTTGCTACCTTTGTACTAGGTAGGTATCTGGTCATTGTTGCGCCCTTGCTACCGTTTAAAATGGTCCACTTACATAGGCAGGTATCAGACAGAGCATTTATTTGTCTTCTCCAGCGTATGCGTGGCCATAAGGTAGCCAACTCACCACCCTACGCAAGGTACCCTCCCTACAAAGAGGGCTTAAGCTTAAGACGCCTGCAGGGCCTTTAAATGGCCATGATAGCATTCAGGTAACCTTCGCGGTGTTAAGGTAGGTGGCTCCTCTGAGTCCTCTCAGAACACGACCTGCTCCAGAGCCCGTCTCATCTCACTTTTACCCCTTGAACTAGGTAGGTAATGTTGCACCCTCGGCGGCAGGCCCTATACCCCACCTATTACTCCGTATGTCTCATCTTTTTACACGCTACCAGTTAGCCGCGTATCAGCGCTTCGTATCGAGACCTCATCTTTACCTCGAACCGTTAGTAAACCCGACTCGATATAGACGTCAACTACGTTTGCAGGCTCGCGATTTGTTCCAGGAAACTGCCTTCCCGTTCATAGGCACCCTCTGACATTCTGAGCCCGTGCAGAAATGTCCTATACGGCAGTTCTCTAATCTACATCGGCATCAGAGTCCCCCGCCAGCGCTTGCGCTCGCGCTCGCGCCCCCGTCTCCACTATCGCTGTTACCCGTCACTACCAAACCCATTGGCTGATTTGAGAAGCGGTCCTGGGTCGCTTGCACGAAAACGGCTTCTCGAAACTGACGGATCACAACTTGCGGCCTTGCGCAGCGCACACTCGCTCGTCCCTTCTCCAGAGGCTCCTCTCCATTGAGAGAGTCTGCAGCTCGACCTGATACTCTCTCGACTGCCGGGCGTGCTGTGTCATGCTACGTGTCTGTTCCCAACTTCGACTTGTCCCAACCCGGAAACGCTGCGAGGTGCTACCGCCACCCCCTTGCCTGTACCTCATGAAGAGAAACTTTGATACTTTTGTGGGCCGTCCTTCTCCCTCTTCCCCGTCAAAGATGGTCGTCACCAATAGCAACGGCACAACCACCAAAGCCGTCGCCCCGACTGTCCCGCTGAAGCTTAGTCTGAGTGCCAAAGAGGAACAGCTGAAGGATCTTCTGATCGATGTTGCCGCCTTCATCGATGCGTCCGGTCGTTCACCCGAGCCCCTCATCCTGCGATGGGCGGGAGGATGGGTGCGTGACAAGCTGCTTGGTATTGAGAGCCACGACATCGACACAGCCATCAATGCCATGACCGGCTATGCCTTCAGCCTAGAGCTCCGTAACTACTGTGCCCAGGATGAGCACGCCAAGAAGCATAAGATTGGCCCGGATGATATGGGCAGCCTCCATAGGATTTCTGCCAACCCTGACAAGTCCAAACATCTCGAGACGGCCACTACACGCATGTTCGGTCTTGACGTCGACTTCGTTAACTTGCGGAAGGAGACATACACTCAGGACAGTCGCAACCCTATGGTGGAGTTTGGCACCGCCGAAGAAGACGCTCTGCGCCGAGATGCCACCATCAATGCACTTTTCTACAATCTACATACCGGTCTGGTGGAGGACTTGACAGGTGGTTTGGCAGACATGAAGTCTCGTCTCATTCGGACTCCTATGGATCCATTCCAGACCTTCACTGACGATCCCCTAAGAGTGCTAAGGCTGGTTCGTTTTGCAAGCAGACTTGACTTTTCCATAGACTCCGCCGCAACTGCTGTCATGGCCGACGCTCGCGTCCTTGACGCCTTGAAACTTAAGATCAGTCGCGAGAGAGTCGGGGTTGAGATGGAGAAGATGCTGAAGGGTATGTCTGAATGTGTCTATATGGCCCTGCCCGCGTATTACTCATGGACTAACGTAACGGAACTTGAACAGGCAAGCGTCCACGCAGTTCCTTGGACCTCATCCGCACTTTGGGCCTATACGAGGCCATCTTTATGAATCCAAACAACATTCAGCACCCAAGGCCGGACCTCTCCAAGTGGCAGTTGGTCTACGATCTTCTTTGCAGTCTTGCGTGCAATAATGTCCCGGGGTCCATTTACGATGTCCTCGTCAAGTCTGACGAGGCCGCATACTACGCTTGGAGCCTGACCGCAGTTATCCCGTATTCACACGTGGAGAATGAAATACACCTGCCGAAGCCCAGGGTGACGCTGCCGTTAACAACCTTGGTGGCCCGAGAGGGTATCAAGGCTCCAAATAAGCTATGCGATGTCATCACTGCAGCATATCGCCATCGATCCAACATTGTTGCTCTGAAGCAGAGTGTTTGTGCCAGGGATTCTACTGCTACCGAACGGGACACCCTTGGTATGGCAATTCGCAAGTGGGACGGTCAAGGAACCCACTGGCGCGTCCAGGTTCTTTATGCCCTGCTTGTTGAAGCCAAGGAAAAGCTGCCGTGCACCACAGATGCTGGTAAGAAGCCTAAGATCTCATGGTCTATTTCGCACGTCGGAACTCAAGACTCACTCTACTATAGAAAAGATTGATTTTCTCTCGGGCTGGCAGACTTTCTTGGACCATTTGGCGCATCTGGACGTCATGGAGGCGCCGTCTTTGAAGCGCCTGGTCGATGGCCGTATGCTAGCCAAGGAGCTCGGAATTCGCCCGGGCAAGTGGATGGGGCGAGCTTTAGACGTGTGTGTCGCCTGGCAGCTTCGTCACCCAGAAGAGACGGACCCGACTGGGGCTATCGATGAAGTACGGCAGAGAGCAGGCGAGTTGGGGATCCAAGGTGTATGAAATGATAACAGCCACCAGCAACAGGCCACGGTCTCTATAGACTTCAACGATCTGGATACCAACAAGGACATTCGCCTTCATCCTTGTATCCAGGTTTACGTACACTCATGTCTAGGCTAGGGCTGTGCTTGGACAGCCTGATAGTGCATCATGTCATGTTTACACGTTGGGACGGAAGTAAACGGTCGTTCCACAGAAGAAAAGGAAATGCATAGCTGTGACGAAAAGTCCAAGCCAAAGTTAACCCATATTTTTCGGCTGGACGTTTCCACTCACATCCGAAATTCGGATAGGTTGCACGGGTACACAAAGAATTGAATAAAAAAAGTTACACGTAATACATAAGCTCTGTGAAGCTCGATAAGGATAATACCGTGCGTTAGTGTCATATTAGCACTGTCTCAGCTCAGGGTGCCATAGAATTTGGGGAATTGGGAATTCAAGCTCCATTGCTAGAGTACAAACCTCACCAACTTCACACGCAATTCGCGAATGCTACTGACTTTTCCACCATCAATTCTATCCTACAACTCAAGTGATATTATCCTGGGAACTGCTGCCTCACCGCATCGTCTGCGATCGCCTCAGTGATAGTTTGTCAGTCATTCAGCTGTCTTCTTTCTGCCTACAACAACTTTCTTATCAGAGAAGATGTTGCGTGAAACAGTTGAAGCATGGCAGAAAGCCGCCTCCACCAGAAATGCATTGGATTCAGACAAAAGTGTGTCTCGATGCCCACCGGTTCTACAAGACTACCGCCACTTGTTGTTGCCAGCTGACAGTCAGAGCCAGTTCTCCCAGACAAGTGTACCCTTGCGAACCTCGCTCACGACCTACCTGAGTGCAAATCTTTGGTGAGTCCTTTCATGTGCACGCAGTGTGCAATCTGACGACTGTACAATAGCCACAGTGCCATGTTCTTGAGGTACTTTTGCGATGCCTCAAGAAGATCAAATGCACCAACAGAGGCTCGCAAGACAAAGGGTCCATCCAGCAGCTTGCAAGCCATACTATAGAACTATTAGGCCAGCCCTTCTCTACTTTACACTCTATGGACAGCCCCGCCGTGGCAGAAAAGGCATTGGATGTTTTGAAATGCCTTGCTATCGACTTTGCTGCACCACTGGACGAAAAAGACTTGGTTTGTGTTGCCGCCTACACCGACAGCCAGGACGCATGGACAACCCCCAGTGCTGCGTCAAGCTCCGAAGACATCCTGAGCAACTCTTTGAATAACGACACGAGACATGCATTCATCGCGTCAGCTGTGCTAGAACACTTCATTCGGCCTGTTTTCTCCAGGACAGCTTCAAACCGCATTACCTCAACTGGTAGAAAGGCCCATTTCATCAATGATGACAAGAGCCAGGTCACCCGCGACTCTGTCACAGGAACTACTGAATCGAGGCCCTGGAAAAGCACCCAGGTCCATGCCATCACGGTCTTTGCATGGGCCGTGAAACATGCCAGCGTTTGTTGATTCTTCTTGCACTACTTATTGCCTGAATAAGATGCGTAGCTGACACGCTGCTTTCTATAGGAATCTCTTATCAGTCAGAGCTGGCCGCTTTTTACCCCAGTCCTGCTCGCCCTTATAGATGATACAGAGACCAAGTTCAAAAAGAAAGGCCTTGTCGCACTACAAGACTTTCTCTCAAGATGTCCGCCCCACCTTATCGGAAACACGGGTCTCGGCGAGGTCTTCGAGCAGTCTGTGTTCCCCTCGCTTCTCTCCCTGCCAGGTGTAACGCCAGAAGATGAATCTCTTCAATTGCTTGGGCCAGCATACAATGCCATCACAGAGCTAGCCAAGACCTGGTTTCCCAATGGCGAGAGCACACCCGCAAAGATGAAACTCCTCATCAAAGTGCTCAGGGAGGGCGTACTTGCCGGTTACTGGCACGCATCTGAATATGTTGGAGTTGTAGAGCTGCTGGCTCAGAAGTCCATTCCAATCATCAGCCAACTTGGTCCGTACGCCGTACCCCATCTGAAGGCAAGTCCGGGACTCACACGTGCCGCTCTCCACGCGCTAACCCTTCACACAGGAACTTCTGTCCATGTTCTCCGCCATCATGACTGACCCGTTCCTCGTTTCCTGCGCGACCTGTATCCAGGCTGCTGCCCAGGCATTATCCATTGTCATGCTTAATTGCTGGCCAAGGATCACTCAGACATCACACTTAGGTGCAGTGCTGAGGACCATCAGCATTTGCTGGCTGAACGTACGAGACGAAAACATCAGAACACCAGGGAATGCGGCAAACGAGAAAGCCTTGGCAGACGTGGCCAAGCTCGCCCCCATTCTGAGTGCCATCTTGGCAGCTGCCAACATTGTTCCCCACGAATATTACTCACAACTGTTGGCTGTTGAACCCAGGCTTGCGGGGCTGTTGGGTGATATCAGGATTGCAACAGGGGCCGAGGGCGAAGAACACAAGACATGCCATCTCAGTCGATTGGCTGCTGCTTGAAGAAGGACTTGCCGCGCAGCCACTTCCTATATGCCTTGTAGCGCTTCTTCTGAGAATCTTCTTCGGTGACGGTAAGAGGGTTGCTCCCGACTTTAAGTAGCTCGGCGTACACAGCAATGTCCTCGTCAGCACCAACGGGGGTGATAGCATCGCTCTGCCAGCTACTCTGAACATAATGCTGATATTCGGACTGGTTCTCAGCCTGTACCTCAGCCGATACCACCAAGGGTAGGTTCTGAGGATGGCTAATGTAGCGCTCATAGTCCACAGCTTCTTGCTGGCTGACGGATGGATTGAGAGACTCATTGACGGCCTTGGTGAACGTCCACTGGGCAGCTTTTGTCTTTTCCTGTGCTGTAGGCTTGGTCTTGGGGGACCCTTGTGGTTCTGCCTGAGTTTCCTTCATGATTCCATGGTGTCCTGTCACTCTATCCTGCATGGGCTGGAGCCAACGGTGAATGGAGATACCTTTGCCACCCGTCGTGCGGTCTGACATGGCGGATGCTGCCTCCATATCCCGAGGAGACTTCAGATCTTGCGGGTCCACGATTGTCACCTCTTTCTTGGGCTTTTTCTTCTCGTGGGCGTCCATATCTGTCTCGTTACGGACCCTGAAAGGACTCAAATCATACCGACCATCTTGTGTGGACTTGAATGGTATGTACTTGATGGTCGAGTTCATCTTGTAAGGAAACATCTTGAGGAACGACGAGAGGGTGGACGGCCGATAGTACTCAACCCAGTAATCATCAAAGAACGAGACTGGCATCTTTCTCGCCTCGCCGGGAGGCGGGCTGTACGTTGGGAACCTCCTTTCTTGCAAGTTTTCCGCGGTGTACCAGTTGATGTAGTCTCGTTTCGTCTTCTCGGACCACGCACGCGGGTCAGCATGATGAAGATAGTAGTCAGTCGCAAGGTCCCACAGCATCGGTTGCCCCTGGGCAAATATGTAGTTGCCGAGGAATAGGTTGTATGCCTCCTGGCGCTGGCCGTCGAGGAACGAGTTGTTGTAGTATCTTTTGAAGCTCTCTATCATGTCGCGGGAATGGCTGGTCCACTGGTTGATTTTGCGGTATGTCTCCATGGTATTGACAAGCTGGGATCCTCCGTACTGTACAGCTATGGTGTCGCCATGATCATGATACATGTGGGTGAAGAGATTAACAGCATCCGTGTCATAGTTGATGGAAGTGTCCTCGAGAATGCCGAGCGCGTGAAGCTGGTGCCCTAGGGCCCTCTTGCCAATGACGAATTGCGCCGCATTGGTGCGATCTAGACAATCAATGCAGTTGGTCCGAGCAACGCCATTCTGGACACTCGTCGGGTACACTTTCCCATCGCCGTCATGGAAGAAACCTGTCGTGGTAACCACATCCTCGGCAATACGTTCTAGAGTGCCTATAACGTCCTGATCTCGACTCTTTGCCGCTCGACTCATGTCCCAAGCCTTGTGGATGATCTTACGACCCTCGGGTAGGAACTGGTTAAGATAGTTGATGGCATTGGTGTATTCCAGCAACAACTTAGACTCTCGCGGTGTTCTCTCTCTGGCCTTTACTAAGTTCAGTACATAGATGGGGGCACCGTAACGCTCGAAGAGGTTGTCAAAATGAAGGGCAGCTGCGCTGTAAAACGGGTCGACTAGGTTCAGCTCGATCGGCGGCTTCGGCGTCACACCCGTGTTGTCCTGTGTCCAGTATAGAGGAATACTGCCTCTATGCTGGACATACGAGGTGTACTGCGGGCTGGAGAAGAGCCTGGGTCCTGGAGCGTGAAATGACGTAGTCAAAGCCTCTGAAACTATCTGTTCTGTCTCGACATCATTGGCGACATAACCCTTTTGACACCCCACAGGTCAGTGATCGATTATTCATTGGGAGATTGGGGTTTATCACGTTAACTTACTAGGTCATTGGCTCCACGTTTGAGAAATCTAGCTCCAGCAAAGAAGCGGGATCGGCGGGCAATGATGGTGATGTATGCAGTGCGGCCGTATATCGACAGAGCTACGGCACAAATCATCAGCTACCTAACATCGACTTCGGCGCTTGAGTTAGAGAAGACGCACCAGCCTGGTCAATGTAGCCGTGGATGATGGGATGGCACCAGTCAAAGGGGTCTTTGAGGGCCTTCTTCGCCGGTCGCAGGAGATGACTGTTCCACACAAACATGCCATTGAAGTCATCCATGGCCCCCGGAAGTCCACGGGCAAGCGCCTCGCGCTCCCTTGTAAGATTGTGCTGGAGAGTACGTGTAATGTCGTATGAGTAGCTGTAGTAGAAGGACCTAGTAAGGTCTAGATTGTTGAGAATGCCGAGAAAGCGAGATTCCTCGGTATTTCTGACGTCGGCCTTGAATCGATTTGGTGTGAGCGGCACCAACTCTGTACCATCAACTTGATAAATGTAATGCCCCCCAATCATGGCAACCGTACTCTTTTTCGTGATCAAAAGCATGTAGTAAGGCCCCGTAAATTTGATAAAACCCAGCAATCCCCAGGCCGTACAACGCAGCTTGATGCCTCCCGTGCCCTTGTTCCCATCGTCAATCGTGTCCAACAGTTGGTTCATCTCCTTTTGGCTGTAGATGATCTTGTCATCGGTAATGCTCAACTCCGAGTCGTCTGCTGTACGTTCGATCTTGAGAATCCGGTATCGCTGCTCGGTCACATCACCACCGACTATATAATAGCGTGTGGCCGTCTCGTACAGGCTGAACTTGTGCATCTTGCGATCCAGGCGATCGAGGCCCATCTCGTCGTATGTATCCGCTACACGGCCAGCAGAATCAGGACTCGAAGTCCGTACAAAGGGTTTGGCGACTGCGGGCTCGTCGTCGGCATCGTCTTCTCCAGGTTGGTTTTGCGTCGCGGCGTCGGAGGATAGAGCTTTGGCAGTCTCGTCATTATTGAGCAGCGGAAACACCGGTGACAAATCCCGGCCTAATTCATCTTGATTGCCGTCTAAAGAGAAGTCCTTGGAGGGGTTGAAATCGTGCGACGCCAAAGGTTGAGCCATACTTAGGCGGAAAGCCCTGGCTGTATGCCTTGTCTTTGGTTGTCATAGTGCTTGACTATTTAGGTCATAATATATAAACTGACTGTTGCAATGCTGACCATCGCGGATAATTATTAGAGTTATCAGTTTAACCCTAATAACTCTTGACTAGCTACTGTATTAAGGAAAAATATAGAATAAGAGTTTAAGATATAAGATAAAAACAAAATATATAGAATATAAAGTATAAATATGAATATAAAAATTATATTTGATTTTTCTGCTACTAAAATATATAATATATATATAAA